CCTGCGGGACAAGGAGCAGAAGAGCCAGATGGGGTCTGCAGGTCCTCCTCCCTGGGACTCTGAACAGGAGGAATAACTTGAGTAGGAAAAAGAAAAAAAAAAAATCCCACTGGAAGAGCCATCTCATATTGTGTTTGCTGACCTAGATTCCTGCTCTGATGGAGTTATGATGATAAAAAACCCCATTACATATTACTTGGGTGTGTACTGGAGAAGGACCATAAGCTAGAAGCAGTTATTCGGTTTAGACGTGTATCTGGGTTACTAAAGACTTTGGGAGCTGTTTAATCTTGAAGTGGAACATGTTATAGATTGTGTTTCTGTGTATACTAATACAGGGATTAAAGCTGCTAAAGCCTCACAACCTAAAATGCTACATGAGTCTCCTTTAAGGCCCAGGCAGATCAACTTGTTTGGTCTTTGCAGGGAGAGGGAGTAACAACTGGAGCTGCATGAGCTCAAGATGACATAAAAAACAATAACATTTTGGAGGCATATAAATTTGTTGGCCTGGCTGTAAATAATTTCCTCTCTTTACAGGAATATTTCATCCCTGCACGTATACCAAAAGAGGACAAGAAATTATTTTCCCAGGTAATAAATATTTTTGGAGGTGTTAAAAGTTTCTTAATTTGTCTAAGGAGGAAATGAAGCTTTCGTGAACTTTATCACCTGATAATTTGGGCATTGAATTACTTAAAGTTTGCTTCCCAGACCCTGACAGTTACCCTGCCCTGAGTAGGGATAAACAAATAACCGAAGAAGGGTAGGAAGAATTGGATCAGCATTTGGGGTGAGAATTTTCCAAGTCACATTTCAATTTAAGAAAGCCTTTATGGAAAAGATTAAATTGAGAACATGTTTCAAACATGCTTCTGATAAAGGGATTGATAAAAGTACAAATGAAATAAAATGAAAAAAGTAAAAAAAATATTTGCTGCATGGTTTAAAATATTCATTAATCCACATAAGCCAAGTTTTTGCTTAACAAACTGAAATTAGATGGTAGTGCCACTGCACTATTATCTGTAGGGCCAGCGCTGATACTTATGCTTGTTTCAGAAATATGAAACTTGGGTTCAATTCCTCCATCAGCCTGAGGGCATTTGAGTCCTATCCAGGAACTTGCTCAAAACATGATGAAGTATCTCATTTAAAAAATTCGTATTTTTCTATGAAACATTACTTATCAGCCCTTTTCTCATTGTGAAACATAGTGCAGGGAGTCTATAAGGTTTTTTTCTGGTTCAAGGAGTTTACCATCTTCATTTTCCAAGAGAACTCAGCATATTTTAATATTAAACAAAAAATCTTGACTTAAATAATTTCCCTGTGCATTAAGCTCGTTAAGAAGTATCAGGCTCTCAAATCCATTAATTTAATATGAGTAGTGTCGCCTGCAGTGACGCTGCTGAATTTATTGCCCAAAGATAACATTTAGATAAAGAGATCATTCCTTTACAAATGACTTCTGAAAAAAAACCACTGCCCTTATAGAACCTAATTTAATTAATCTTCTAGACGAAAGCAGCAGTCAGTAGGAAGAATTTGATGTTGTTTAGCCCCACTCTTATGAATATTAATATTCAATAAAATTATTCTTCTCTTCGTGAATACTATAAATGTGAATTAGGGTTGAAGCTCTGAAAAGTAACCAGTTGTTGGTTTTGTTCCTTTCTTCTTGTAGGCAAAGATTCTCACTTTCCTTCATCTAATTTATGCAAAATTTTAAGAATGGAGTTATGGTGGAACTCTTGTGTAAGGGAGAAAAGGATTAATGAATGTGGACCATGCCTGCCCTGAGCTGCACTTGGAGAACCCTGTGTGTCTGTATGTATGATTTGAGAATTAACATTTACAGCGCCTGACATTTTAAATTGTATAATTATGCTAGGATACATAAATAGAAGTACAGGTTTTGGGGCCCTGTGTGAACAGAATCTAATTTCCCTATAAAAATCATGTAAGAAGCATTTCTTTAAAAGACCAGAATGAACCAACCTTTCTCTTTTCATGCACAATGAATTAGCATTAGCAAATCCATTAAAACAGTGTTGACCTGGGTACAACAGACAGTCAGACAAGTTCGGCTGCCATAGAAGTCTATACATTGAAGCTGCACCCAGCCTCTACCCACACAAACAACTTTGCCATTTCTGTGCAAAGATTTACACCTTGGGGTCTAGCAAGAGTAATAGGAAATATATTTCCAAACCATGCTGTGTGTGCACTCTCTTAGGATGAAGCAATGTTTTGAAAACTAAATTAATTCTGTTCAAATCACATTAATAAATATGAAAAAGAGATGGGGCATTCATGTGACCCTTGTAAAGAGCAACGTCCCTCAAGCAAAGGTTCATTAGGTTTTTGAGTCTTTATTCAGTGTTTACTGGAAATGTAGAGAGATGCAGGATTCACTGACCGGCATTTTCCTCCTTTCACTTGTAAAGTACTTTGTAAAAAAATAAAATTATACCAAGTCTTTTGCTTGAAAGGACTCTCAAAAGGCATAAAGATGTCTAAAGCTGGATCTGAAATGGTTCTAGGAAAGAAAGGAAAAGGAAATAGCTGAGAGAGTTTGCACTCAAAACTAAATGTTCGCTGCCTTTTTATCTTCTTTGTACAGTTCTCAAACAGCAGCTTTTACTTCATATTTGCCTTCAAGAGGGAGCAACTTTGTTGTGCTCTGGCTGTACAAGAGCTCTACAGGTAACTGAGCCCGCTATGGGCTGGATCTCTGTCTCCTTCCACGTGACATTGCATTTCAGGGGATTCGGCTGAATATTTTCGTTTTTTGTAATCATTCAGATAAATCGTGTTTTAGACAAGTTTCTATTCTTTAAAGACTGTGTTGTTGCAGTGTGGGTGAACTAAGGGAATTCACTTGATCTCTTTGCTAATTGTATCACAGCAAATTGATTCCAAAGACTTTACAATCACTCCCTCAGTGACACTAATAAGCATAAAGGGAGGAAATATCAGTGGGGTACTATGACAGATATAGCACTAAACTACTTTTCCTAAACCTCTGGAGATAATTACTTCAAGCTCAATAAAGAGTCCTTGGTACGTGTCCTCTTCACTTTTGTAGCAATATCTTAGATGATTTTTTGCTTTGTTATGGATTTAATTTTTTCCCCAGAAATGCTGTATAATATTGTGGCTCTATATAGAATAATGGAATATTTTAACATTAAAATGTATATTCATCTGCTTCATTTAAACATAATTGATTTTTGGAGGAGGAAATGCCATTTTTTGCAGTACCCTGTTTACATATGAGAATTCTCTGAAGCTTGGCAAGTTAATAATTTGTGCCAGCAGGCCTGTAATTAAGCTCTAAAATTTCTAGGAAGATGTAAGTTCAAATATTATCTATTAAATATTATCTATTAAAATATATTAAACAGTATATGTTAAAATGTGCAGGGCAGGCTGTATCTTCCACTTGGATGTGTTGGAAGATAAAACTGTTATGCTGTAAGCATAGCAGGTACATGTGTTTCTGTGTTGCTGATTAGTACAAAATATGTCAGGTCTGACCTAGAACAATACTGCAGCTTAATTCTGTGTTTGTAGAGATTATGGTTTTCATGTCAAGACACTGTTCACGTGATGGGGATATTTTCCAAAAGCTAGGAAATAATGAAAAATTATTTTATTAATCTGTTACACCTGTTAGGAGCAGTGCACCAGCTGCTGATCTGCAATTCAGTGAGAGATGAACAGAGCTGGTCTATTCACCTGCACAGCACAGATTAAAAATAATAAGGAAGTGTGAAGTTAAATAATGAATGAACATTCAAAGGTGAGAAGGTGAAAGATGAGCAGCAACATATTCTGGTGTTATGAGTTAAGTTAGAAATTCTAATCAGTCATTAAAATAAAAGGTAAAGATGGAAGGGTTTGCCGAGAGCAAAGGGTTGGTAAAACTTGAGCAATGACTTAAAATACTAATAGAGGAACTGCAAACCTGCACTTCCCAGATATGTTACTTGCATACTCACTTCAGAGTATAGCTATATGCAGATAAAAGCTATTCTAAAATAACAGCATGGAAATACAGACTGTGAAATTATCTTTTAGAACAGAGGTCCTAATGTTTAGGCGGACAGAGATGGAATAAAGCACAAACACTTGAAGCCAGATACAAAAGCAGGGATTCTGCTATTCACCTGCAATTTTCCAGAGCAAGCAGCTTCCAGACAGACCCTGAGCTGGCTGGGGCAATTAAGCAAAACCTTTCCACTTCAAACCAAGAACCCAGGGTGCTGATAAAATGCACGCCAAATAAACAAGGATTGTTTTCAAAAGGCATTGGTGTGTCTTTTTATCTCGGATGTGAATCTTAAAGAGCACTTGTGTTGCTTTTCACATGGGAGTTTGGTGTCTTGGACTGTAACTGAGTTCTCCTATTCTGTGTAGAGCCCAAACAGGTCAGCTGGGGCACTTCCCATAGCCCCTGTTGAAGCCATTTTCTCTACCACACAGCAAAGGCTGCCAGGGCAAATCTTAGCTGTCACTATACCAAAAGACACCACTTTGGCTAAAATTAGCACACTATTTCTTTGAAAATGCTTTTCAAGTTGCTTCAGGAGCACAACTCCCAAGACTATATTTACTCTACTTTTCATAACATAACAAAACAAAACAAAAAAACCCAAACAAAACCAAAAAATATACTGTAATACCCCATCCCACTTAGCAGGGGAAGGTTGCTTGATGCACTCTGGGCTGCGTGCAGGAGATACAACAAAATTCTCAGGAGGTTTAACAACAAACTTTTACTTGCAAACTTTAAAACATTGAGGTAGAATAAGGTGCTTGGCAAATTTTAAAACAATGTCTAGACAAAGTAAAGCACTTCGCAAACAGGCCGTGAAGGCGGCCAGCGCCATTTTATGTCAGGCAATGGGGCTAGTCCACCATTTTGAGACAGGCCACAGGGTCACTCTGCCATTTTGTGTCAGGCCATTAAGTCAGTCCTCCATTTTGTGAAAGGCTATGGAGTCAGTCGCCACCATTTTGTGGCAGGCCATAGAATCACTCTGCCGTTTTGTGGCAGGCCATGGGTCAATTGCCACCATTTTGTGGCAGGCCATGTGGTTATTCCACCATTTTGTGAAAGGCTATGGGGTCAGTCGCCGCCATTTTGTGATAGGCCATAGGATCACTCCACCATTTTGTGGCAGGCCATGGGGTCTTTCCACCATTTTGTGGCAGGCCATGGGGTCAGTAACCGCCATTTTGTGACAGGCCCTGGGCTCGCTCCGCCATTTTGTGGCAGGCCATGGGGTCATTCCACCATTTTGTGTCAGGCTACGTGTCAGTCCGCCATTTTGGGGCACATGTGTTTTCCAAGGGTTCTGTGTCTGCTTGTGTTTTCTCACGAGGTGAGTCCATTCTGGCTTCCCATCTGGATTAAATAACAACAAAAGCAGCAATTTATTTATTTATTCATAAAAGTGAAAGACTTCTATTTCATGAGCTTATTTTATTTATCTATGATTATGGTTTGATTTATTTATTTTCTATATTTTTATTTATTAATTTATTTATATTTCTTTATTTTTAATTTATTTATTATATTATTTGTATTAATTTTAAAATTTTATTTATTATTGATAGATGATTATTCATATTAGCACATAAAATACCATTCTTAAAAGGACCAGTATTTTCTGCCCTGGCAACATTTTCGTCAGGCTAGAAAACTTTCCCATTAGATTCACTTTGAAAAGAGAACTGTACAAAGACTGGATTTATTACTCAACAGATGCTCATCACATTGCTTAATGCTCTATTTCATGGTCCATATTCATCATCCTTTTTTGATTCTTAAATCTATACCCAATTCCTTTTGAACATCTGGTGTTCTTTCTCTTCTATGTTTGAAACAGAATAATTTGTTTAGGCAAAGCATTTCTTCTTGTAATGCTCTAATCCTCCTGGGTGTTTGGAACATAGGCAGGAGAACAGGACTTCTGCGATTAAATGTAAAGATGTTTGCAAGATTGTTTCATTTTCTGATAAATATAAATTTGTTCCTCCAACGACTTCATCTGTTGGCAGCCTTTGACATAAATCTGCTGTTGCTGGGAACTGGGAAGAATGCCCTTGCAAAGGAAATTGTTCTGCGAACCATTGATCTGTGTGCAGAACTCAAGGTAAATTAAAAAATAAACAAACTTAGATTTCTTTTTAGAATGGTGTTAAACTCGGGAATATAGTTTATTAGAAATTCAGAAATTGTTCAACATATTTTTAAATTTGTGCCAAAGCATATTGATTTGCTTTTTGGTAAGCACATGTTTCAGTGGGACTGTGGACGTGATGTCACCTGAATAGCTAATACACCAGCAGTGAAAATACGGGTTGCATTCTTGACATCTTAGTAGAAGGCTTAAAAATCTTTTTTCTTATTTCAAGTCATGGATATTTTCTGAGAAAAGTAAAACACGAATACGAAAATTTCAGTAGTTCACCATGGTTCCATACACCATGTCTGAAATCTCATTCTGATCCTGTCAGCCAGTGCACGCTCCACTCATTTCCATGGAGTTGCTAATACATTCTAGCCAATGACACGTGTGACATCTGAAAAAGGGCTGAGAAACAGTTTTCATACATCAGAAAAATACTGTGACCTTTGTTTAGTTGTTGCTTCTGCCTGTCAGCAGAACAACTTGGGCATGGGGGGCATACCGGAGATCTCTCTCTGTGCCCCTCTCTCCTTCATTCACATCACCAGCAGTTGTCTGAGAGCTTCATTTTGTGTAGTACCATGAAGCATCATGAGGATCTTCTCTTAAAAACTGGCAAAGCATTTGATCTGCTGCGTTTAGCCTGCAGAACATGGAACCCATGGTTCTGGAAGTCACACGCTGGCAGAGATCATGATGAAGCCCTTTCAGCTGGAAGGAGGACTGAAAAGGTGCCAGTCTTTTTAGCCAGCCCTGATCTTGGGAAAACACCAACTGCAACTTCTATTATTATCAAACTAATCACATGGAAAGCCTGATTTTTTTCAAAAATAGATACTTTTGAATTATGTTAATTTTTAATTTTTTACTGTCATATTTGATGAAGCACCAGAAGGCTGAGAACAGTGAAGTCTTCTTTACAACTTTTCATCTTGCTGGTGCCTTGTCAGCCTGAAATACATAGAGATTTACATATATTTTCCCGAGAGGTTGGCATTTCTCAGACAAGTGTTGAAATAGTAGTTGACATCTTTAATAAGAAAATGGAGCCAGGGAACAGAATGAGTAAATTAAAACAGCCATTAATTTGATTCTAGATTTGATCTGGAAAAAAAAAGGGCAGAAAAAATGTCTAGATATGAATTGGTATTGAATGAAATTCCGTGATTATAGAATTAATCCTTGTCTGGAATCAGATATTAGAGATTACTTATGATCAGCCAGCACAAGTTCAGAGTTCCACAACTAAAAGTTGCCATAAATAATTGGAAATTGTGAAGCAAATAAAATAGATAAATGGTAGATGCACAGGTTTATGAAACAATTTCAGGGTACAGTTGTTTTTTGCTCTGCAGAGAATGGCTAAGTTTTTTTTACATATAAAATAAGATTGGACTTTAAAGTATTTTTTTTCTGAGTTGATATTTTTATTTGCTTCTTAAGTGGGTTAAATTTAATAATTGCTTATTGATTGTTCATATGCAGTGGCTCATATGCAATGCTCACATTCTTTGATTGTTCGTATGCTCATGTTTTCTGCCTTGTTAGATCACTATGGATTTATTCAAAATCCTATCCCCTCCTGAGCTACCGGAAAAAATTTGGGTCATCTGTAAATTTTGTCAGGTCACTGAACTATTTCTACAGAATAGCTGAAGGAAATAATAGGAACAGCATCTATTCATGTGTTTTGACGTTAAAATTTTCACTTGTTTAACATCATCAGGGTTAAATGGATTTAAGGTATCCATGGAGGCTGCATCACTTTGACATAGGCCATCTTTTCCAAGAAATCATGGTTTAAAGTGAGAAAATGGTCATCTGTAATGATTCACCTGCTTATACTGAGAAGTGGGAAAAGGTATTGATAATTTGTAAATATTTCTACATTCTTTTTGTGCCCCCAGTGCCTCTTGGTTGATCTGTGCCTAAAACTGGGGTAATGGTGCAGCTTTTCCTCACAATTGTAATAAAACAACTAAGTATTTAGAGAAGGTGAATGTGACAGACATTGTGCATTTTCTCAGTGTTTTTATGGGAAATCTAATCCTTGTGAATTCAGAGCAAGGTTTGGATGTGTCAGGACTGGTTTTAAAAGTTTGCAAAACAGGGAATAATGCTGAGATGTGAGTAACATGTGGAACAAGTGATGCCTAAATGATTATTTCAATGACAATTGATGACTGTCATCCCATAATTTCTTGTACTTGGTGCACTATCACACAAGTTTCTAGCAAAAAACCAGTCAGGGTTTTAGAACCACAGCTAGTGACTATTGTAGCTCATTGCACTTATTTTTTAAGTGATGTAAATTAGGTAAGTGTATAACAGTGTTTCTGAATGAAAAATGGAACCATAATGTGGCACATTTCCAGAAGAACACTGAGGGCCAGCATGTACATCACTGAGCAACTTTATTTAATTACAGTTTTTAATTCTATTCAAGATTACTCTGCATTTTTAAACTTCTGAAGTCCTTGCTCTGGTCTGATCCTCTCATTCTTAAATTATCCCTGAGCATTACATTTTAGTAATAGCAATACAAACAACAGCTAACATTTCTTTTTCATTATTGAGATTTATTCAGACATTCTATGTCCAGTTCTTGTAAGTTTTTCAAGTCAGTTTGAAATAATACAGGGAGCTTTGTTTTGATCTCTTCTACATGGATCTATTACCTACATTTTTATTGTTTGTGAGCAAGTCTGTAAAGAGAAAAAGTAGGGAATGGGGGTTTTTGTAGCAAGGATTAGCTTCAATTTATCTCTAAAATTAGGAGTTGAGTAAGATACTGGTTTCAAAGCAAAGTGACAGCATTGCTTAATGGGGTTTTCCACTTGAAATTTTCTTTTTTTGCCCTCTAATAAAAGCACTTGTGCTGTTTCTGCTCCGAGGACCTGTTCCCTTGTCCTGCTACACCTGTGTGACCACACCAGCTGCAAGACATGATCTAGTTATGACTGAGAATCTGCCTGACCCTGCTGGGGTAGCTGATTTTCTCTAACTCTGCCTTCTCCAAGTTACTGCTCTTCGTGCAGAAGTCAGGAAAAAGAAGAAATCTGGACGTCCCTGACACTACCAGCACAGGTATAATTTTAATTTGAAATTGTAAGCCTGGTATGGCCTCTATTCTGGCCCTTTGGGTACAGATATCTTGGTTTTGCTTAGCTGTTCTATATTCCACTGGATGCAAATAATTAAAACTTGTATAATTCTGAGAATGTTAATTTTGTTCAGAACATCAGACTCTGCTTTTGCTTCCTTTCCTCCATTCTCTTTGGTGAAATTTGTAGGCAGACTGGGATACAGGATTCATTGTGGAATATTGAGAAATGTCACATAATTTAAACTAAAGCTTTTCCTTGAGCTAAAGGTACCTAAGCTAACCAAAATATGTAAGTCAGGAATCTGCTAGGATGCTTTGTGTCAGATCCAGCTTGGCCTTGCTCTGAAACAATAACCATAAAGGTGAAAAGCAATACCCATTAACCATCAGGAAATGAAATCTCACAGATTGAGGCTAAAATTTTTTAATGTTTACAAACACATTGAAATTTGTAAAATGCTCTGTCAGATGGCACAGCACAAATATCCATTAGAAGCCATAATAAATCTTCTCTTCAATGAATTTCAAATATTGCAGTCCTATGTTAACACATCATTTATCCCTCCATATAACATTGCAACCCAAAATGTCTTCCTGGTGAGACAGTTGTGAACTTTATCTTTTTTTTGTCTATTAAGTTCATGATACTAGACTCTCATGGAATAGTTATAAACAAATTCATAATACTATTTGCCTGAATTATTCATTTGCTGTGTGATTGCAATGATTTCAGGTCAAAGGTGATAATGCTTAATTATATTTCTAGCAGTTCTTAAAAATAATTGGATTAGAAATCATGCACCGAGATGCTACTTATTATTCTTAACAGTTCAGGACTTATTTAAGTGTTTTAATCAAGCCGTAAATGATGTATATCTCAGACTACTTTCTTTCCTGGATTTTGAATCACAGTTTGTAAGCACTCGAGCACAAGCCTTTTCATTAGGCAAAACAAATTTTTGTAGCATTTTGCCTTTCTGGTTCCTCGCAGCAGGACATAAACTCCAGCCAGCAACGTTAGAGGCAAAGCCACGCTATGCTGCCTAAATAAATATCCAGAATTAGCACATCAGTGAACTAATGCCACCAGAATTAATCTCATACACCTGCAGAATGTCTTTCCCAAATCACTCTTAATTGATTGCCATTGGTATTTGTCTGAGTTGCTAATGGAAATCCAGTTTTTAGTGAGGTAAACAGTCTGCTGTGTATTTTCATTAGCCTTCCCGTGCCTGTATTGTACTGCACCTGCCTGCTCCCAAAATGCTGGTTATAGCTGTCATATACTTTTATGAGGATGGGAGCAATGTTCTGGCAAGCTAACTTGACTCAAATTGTGTTGGGATATAAAACATGAAGGCCCACTTGTGATTGCAAAGGTAGTAAGTCTAATTTGATTAGGGCTCCAGTGACATGGCACATTATGGACCTCATTTGTCATTCCTCATAAGTGCTCGTGAAAGGATCGTTCTGAGAGGAGGCACAATTGGAACCCGGGAACACATTCAGCACCTCTCGTGCTCAGGGGAAGGGCAGGGAAACAGCAGCAGAGCCTGATCAATATTGGCTTTAAAATAAGAAGAAACAGGAAAGGCAACAACCAGGAATTCCTACCTTTTGAAATGAGAGAAAAGTTTTCAGAGGGAGTATGATTTTCTCTTTAAGATTTGTGTTGCTGAGCCTCAGCTATTAAAAACCCCACAATTTCAAGCCTTAGAACTCTGTTGTTAAACAACTGGGCCTTTTTTCTAAAAATGTTCTAAAAAACCCTTCCATGAGTTGCTAAGCAACAGGGCTTGGAGAAAAGGCCAGATCCTCAGTTTATGTGAAGGGGAAGATTTCTAGGTGTATGTGTGAATATAGTATCCTCTCCATTCTTCAAAGCTGTGGATCAGGTTAGGGGCTATTGGGCAGATTTGCTTGTGGACAGACAATTCAGCTGATTAAATGATTTTACAGAGATGGCAAACATTCAACATTTTGGCAACATCAGTACGATAACAAAAATATCTCCTGTGGAAAATTGCAAAGGTTTTAAATTTTTCTGTCTCTATTTTCCAGAATCCAGCTGGAATACGTGTTTGAAATTATTTGGTCTCTGCTTTTTAGTTTTTAGGTGTCTTAGTATATAAATATTCATTAGAAGGCTATGAATACTGGGGGAAGGAGTAGAGTGGAAAAAGGCTTCTTTTCCTCTTTTTTTTCCTGGAATATTCTCTCTCTCTTGTCAAAAAACGTGACTCAGGTTGGTGTTAAGGTAAGGGCTAGTGTGACCTCAAAAAGAAAGTGTGATCAATATTAATTACATAATTAATTTCATAATCACAGTATATTTATATTTCCTTCTACTGCACCTGGGAAGATGGAAGACTGATATAAAGAGAAACCAGGAATATATTTCACCTGAAATATGGGACTAAATTAACAAATAGAGGTGGACTTTGCAAGAGGGAATTGGACACCAAAATTGTCTTTGGACACCAAAACTATCTTTGGACACCAAACTATCTTTGAGTTCACTTCTGAAATAGTTGGAAGATGTGCCACTGGACTTCTGTGAAAATATTAAATTTTACGGGAAATTTGGACTCTGATTCAATTTTCAAATGGGATTTTCGTAATAATTTAAAGTTATTTAAACTGTTACAAAAATATATCATGTATAAATACATTTTTCTTCATCATGGTAAATATGGACACTGGTATTTAGATTTCTGAATTTTGTGATAACCTAGAGATTAAATGTATACAGTGAGGTCATTGTGTTCTTTTGTCTGAATATTTTTCAAGTATTTTTTTTCCTAGAAAATGCCCTTGCACAAATAACTTGGCTTATAGATAACTGTTTGGAAATGTCAGAAAGGGCTCCCTGGACCTGGCAGCTCTAAACTGGATGAAGAACTATGTCAAGGGAGGGAAAGAGAAAAGGTCTCCAGTAATTTCCACTATAATAAATATTTTTTGGTGAATTTCTCCTGCAGGCAATGTGTGTAAATATAATGTAAATATAATGCTGAATTAGAGTTGCTTTGAGAAATAACTTGTAGGATACATGAATGGAAAAATAAAAATGTGGTATTTAGTGTGTGGGTAAAAACATGGTATTTGGGCTGTCTCCAGCAGCTTCCTGTTCCCTCACTAACAGCTCTCCTCTGTCTGTTCAGTCCCTCTGTCCTGCTTCCATTAGATCTCTTGCAAGGATCATGCTTAAAAGTTAAGTTTTGGTGAAGAAAAAGCAGAAAACAATATTATCAATATGAGGTAAGTGTTCAGTTCATCTTTCAGTGGCCACTGGTAGAAAAACAACCTTAATTCTTCAAAATCCAATTGAGGTATATATATATTTTTTAAATAAATAAGTCATACTGGATGTTTTCAGGAGACTATAACACTTTTTGAAGCCTCGTGGCATGCATTTTAATTATCACCTACCATCTAGCGTGTTGAATGTTTTTAGGCTTGTTCAGTGCATTAAAGCAGCAACTATGTTAATAAATTCTTGTCACTGATTGATATTAAATGACACGTAGCAAACAGTCCATCTGTCTCTGTTCTGTCGTTCCATGCCTTCTTTCATGTTTCCATTACAAATTCTGTAATAAATAGCCTGATCATTTTGAGTGACATTTGGGATCTTTATTGGACAAGACATTTCAAGTACATCTGTCTTCTGACTGGTTTATAGCTGACAGTTCTAACAACAGCTATTACCTTCCAAAAGGCTGCATTCAAAGTGTTCTAAGTTATCTCCATATTCCCTTTCCTGATTTTCTTTCTGGTTTCAGGGTGCATGTTGCTGACATTTCTAGCCTGTGTACTTTTTAAATTCAGACACTTCCTCTGTGATGATGATTTTATCACTGTTATGCTGACTCAGGCTGTATCTGCCTCACTGTAAATCTTACTCCTGGTCTCTTTTATCTGATCCTGTTGCTATCCTCTGTTAACCATATCACTCTGACCCCTTTATATCTTGGTGGGTGTAGACTTTCTAAGTACTCAAACTTTACAACTTCTTTAATATACGAAGTCCCTGGAAGCCCAGAGCAGAACAATTGAAACTACCAGCTCAGCAAAAGAGTGTTTGACTTGTCTGATTCACAAGTTATTACTGGGATGCTCTAGTTGCTCTTATCTCAAGTTGCTGTGAAATTTCTGTGGAATTATTGTCAAATCTGATGGCTGAACTATCAAGTCATGAAGGGGTTGGGTTTTTTTCTTATTATATAAGACATTCAAGACTTTTCTTCCTTCAGTTACTATCCCACTCATCTTCACTATTTTTAATAAATCATGTTTGGGTGGCCACAGCTCTTGCCTTTGTCTTATCTTCTCATTCCCTGGTGCTGGGAGGTGGCAACTTGCAAGGAGTCATACTGCTGAGATAAGTCTGGCACATAAAATTATTTGACTTGACAATAATCCTCTCTTATGTGAAAACCAAACCTTAATACTCTCGTGAGGATCCGCTGGATTAATTTCCTCTATGTGCATGAGCAGAGGCACCGGCCTGTGCACAGCAAAGCCGGAGAAACGCCTCCAGCTCCGGTGCCTCTCACCAGAGCTCTGTGCCCTGTCACTCCTTCTGGGGCTTTTGCTATATATATACCATATATAAACTCCTGAGTTAGGAGATAATGGGTACAGGTGAGGAGCTATCTCTTGAAATCCTGTGAATTCTACGTTAAGTGCAACAGCACGTGAAGATCTTTCTAGAGCATCCAGGCCTCCTTTCTTGCTTACTTTGTTTTAAAAGTTTCTTTGAGCTTGCTTTAAATGAGAAGTAAATTTTGCACTCAAGGTGAACAGTAATCATTAAAAGAACAGCCTTTTTCATAGACAAAGTTTGACTGAAATTAATTTTATTTTGGATATGTGGAAGTAAAAATAAGAGTCCTTACCTGTTTTCCCTGCTGTACGTCAGCACATTTAGTCCAAAAGTGAGGAATAGTAATTGTTAGTGACTAAACTGTAGCGTGATATATTATGTTCTGAGGTTGTACTTCTCCACTTTAAATATGAATATTTCATCATTACTACACTTTATTTTCAACTCTTCTGGGGAATGCAGCATCATACATTTTTAATTGTTCAGCCAGACACTTTCCACAAACACACACGAATTTTAATGGCGTATCTTCTTGTTTCAGAGACGCCCTGAGCTGGAGGATTGGGTGATTTGAGGGGCCAGGCAGTGTCTCGAGAGCTTTTCACCTGAGCACCCGACCCGAGCGCCACTGGAAGCAGTCACTGCCAGAAGGTTGGAAGGAGCCATGACTCCAGGTCTGTCCCTGGGAGGTAACAGGTGAGGCCCTTTGGCAGCACTGAAATGTTCACGGCTCAGACTTTGGGTTGAACCAGCCTTGTATAAGCAAAATTATACTTTCTGGTCTTTCTCCCCTCACACACGGTCATGTCATACACGCAGTTTGGTAGGTAAAAAGTGACTTGAAGTGGCACCATAGGATGTTGTTGCTGCTGTTGTTCTAAAATTTTAACTGCCTTTAGTCAAAACAACAAATTTGCTTAAAAATGCAACCGTGGGCCCTTGAGATTTCTCGGAGTGGCTCACACTTTATGGGAATAAGCACGTCAGCAGCAGAATTGTCAGACTCCTACTGCATTGTATAAGAGCCTTTAAATATCTTAAGTGTCTGCAGGCACCTCTGTGGAACTGGGAAACCATTTAAAAAAATCAGGCTGAAATGTCTGAGTCCCATCTCAAACTGGATAACAGAAAGTGCTGAAAGTTTTCAGCTTTAATCACCATGTGACCTTTTTACCCTTTCCCTCGAAAGGCAGGGGAAGTCATGGATTTAGAAGTCAAAATATATGCTTTTGTAAATAATATATAAAATAGGGCTGAATTAAGTTGCATTTTAAATCCAAGGAGCTCTAGTTCAAGGTCACATAGTTTACTCAATTTTAGCCATAAATCTCCAGATCAATAACAGAGGTTGAACCTGATAAGGAATATTTAACCTTTGGCAAATGCCTCTATCTGTTTTGTAGAGAACTTGAAAACACAAAATCCCAGCTCTGTGTGTATGCAGTCACATGTGCCTGCAGTTATTAACCATGGAAGAAACAGAAATTATGTTTATATTAGGAAAACATAGAAGATGGAATGAACATATTTGCCAAAACATTCTGTTATTCAAAATTCTCACTTTATTTGTGTGTTCCTAAAACTTGCAGCTATGGTTAAAAGAAAAATAAAATTAAATACAATTTTTTTAAAAAAACAGAAAAGTATATACTTAAATGTTAAAGCATATGTGAAAAGAAAATTTATTCTGTCCCTCTTAATTAAGAACTTTAGGCCCAAAATGACTGGTTATGGCCCTGTAAAGAGTGTTTGGCAGTGCAGGAGGAGCTCTTTCAAGCATCATATCCTGAAATTTCAGCCCAGTAAAGGGAAATACAGACAAGAAGAGAAGGGTGGGCTGGAAAATCCAAAGTAAAGTTTACGAAGCAAGCATGTTTATCCCTTCCCGAAGCTCCCAGGAGAAGAGAAAGGAAAGCAACATTACACCATAACAATAAAATTTCTTTTTGTTTTGAATGAAAGTATGGAAAATTGCAAGAAAGTCCCCTGTAGACTAACCCAAAAAGTGTGTTGCCTTTCCGTGCATGACTCCCACCTTTTCTGTCTTTGAGAATCTGAATGTTTAAGCATTTATTTTGGCAACTTTAGTGAGAGTATTTTCAGGCCATTAAAGCCTTACTGAGTTCAACTTGAGAAAACCAGTCCTTATGATGAGAGGAATAGCTACTTAGGATATCAGTGTCCCAAAGAGGAAAGAAATAAAGGCTCTGGCTCTCATCTGTCATATCCAAGCAGGCAGGACTCATTTTGGACACAGATGCATATTTAATAGCTTTGGAAGTGGTATTAACACAGGTGCAAAGCGGGCAGGAACGTGTCATTGCTTGTTACTGCAAAGCCCTGGCACCACAATGTAAAATACACAGTTACCTGTATCTAGCACTGATAAATCACATTTATGTGGGCAGCAGCAGCATCCAAAATAACCCCTCCCACATCCCATTAATTTTTAAAGTGCGAGGGCAATTAACTTATTCACTGGGAAAGCTAAAAATCATTTTCTGTTGAGCAACTTGTGGCTTGTGCAACTCGTGCATTTTGGCTTTGGAGAGGCAAGGAAATATGATGGCATCTCCATACTGGGTGATGGGGCTGACTGAAAGGTCTGCTTATATATGTATATATATGTATAATCCTTAACTTGAATCCTTTAACTTTTCCTAGTAACTTAGAGCAACAGAGGTCATGAATTCCTTAATTTATCTTACTTTCATCCCTCAGCAGTACAGGATCTTCAGGTTCTCTCATGCTTCTGCCAAATATCACCATGTGAACCCCTGAGAGAGATCTGATGAACTGAAAAAGAAACAAAATAGAGAAAATTTTGATTCTTAGAACTGATTGGATATCAGAAGAAACTCAATTTAGTCAATTCTTTGGAAAAAAACCCCAAACTCCACTTCTAAATCAGTAAGGAATTAAGCTAAACTGTCTTTTGCTATGATCACACAAGTACCTGAAGGGAAAAAGCCAGAGCACATCAAATGCAATTTGCAACACGTCCTGGGTACAGCTTGTTCTGCCATCCAGTGCAATCAATAAAAACCTTTCACTGATGTTAATGGTTTGGGATGGAGGCCTCCGAGTGAACAGCTGTATCCGGGGAATGCAGCTGTGCACCATCGCACCACGTCTGGCAGGTATTTTGAGCCCAGACAGAAAAAGCTACCAAACAGCTCATTTGCAAAAGGGTAGAAATCAATCTGTGAAAAACTCTAACGTATTTTTAGGTTGCCTTTAAATTGATCGTGGAAGATCAGTTTAAAAATATGTATTCCTCAAGTCTAAAAACTGTGCTTGTGTTAAATCTGTTTTGCCAGGAGTAACGTATGACTCTGTGGAGGTGGATTAGAATCAATACTGAAAGAAATCCAGTGACGTAAACCCATCTATTTGCCTTGCAAAATTCTTGCAAAAATTGATGTTGAATCCAAAAAAAGCCCATTTTTTTCTAACTAATGTTTAAGCTTTTGACCTAAGTATTTGGTTCAAATTCATAACTCTCTCTCAAAAAAAAAAAAGGCAGATACTTATGATTTCTCAAGAGAGATATGGACGTGCTTGGGAAATATTCTTTGCCACTGTTTACAACTTGAGTTTTTCTGTTATGTCCTGAGTGATAAATCTCAAGCACTCACAAAACTGACATATCAGTTACTACTAGGCAAAGATTTTTTTGGAAATGGTGTTTTACATGGAGTTTTGTGACTGTCTAGAAAGATAAGAATGGCAAAATTATTTTTAGCCTAAGATGAAGTATAAGAAAGAAAACCACAATATTTGATGCTTTTTTTTTTTTTCCCCTCTAAGAAAACATGCAGGTCACTGAACTACTGAACAGCCAAGTACTGAGCTGGTGTCTAAATTAGAGTCCAGTGGTTTGGATTGCCGAAGCTTCAGCAGGGTCTGGGCAAGTACAAGGACTTGTGAATAAAGAAATATTGCTGGAGCTTCTATTAAATGTGTCTTTTCACTGCTAAGCACCTGCTTTATGTAAACCTCACGAAAAATTTTAGTCATGACTTGTCTGCAAGTCTGTTCATTTCCATTCACTCGAGGTTTGCGGGGAAGTAATCGCTGAGGAAAGAACTATCAATAATATTTATGAAAAATGGAGCCTAATGCTTGTCAGATGCCATTTCATAACACTTGGAGGTACAAAATCACAGTGCACACTGTGCAGGCTCCTTGAAGAAGGTGCTTATTCTGATCCCAAACACTTTATCTGATTGTGTAGCTCCCCAAATAAATCAAATCCAGCTCAGTGCATCTGTTGCTGGTTGCTCAGCATATTCTCTCCCTTGCTCTGAGTGCAGATTTTAGAGTTCTGTAGAAGAACAATTTTCTTTTTGACAATACAGCAACATCAAAACTTGACGGGAATTTTATATTCAAATGTCTAATTGCATTTTCCTTAGTTGTCTGTTTAAATTGGGAACTTACTTTGACACTATCTCTAAATTCAGTTACTCCTTACAAAGGGACAGGAGCAGGATGATATAACTTTTTTAATATTTGGGGGTTTTCCATCTTTAAATGGTAATCAGTAACTTTTGAAACAAAGGGTATATTTATGTTTTCTTTTACAACACTAAAAGTGGTAAGCACTGAAATAAAACTTATTTAGTGGGTAGTGAAAGAAGCAACCTCACACCCCCTAATTGAATAATGGATTGTGATGAACAATATTATATTTTTTTAAAGATGCTTCTGTTTCTATTTACTAATTTGAAGATAACTCAGGACTTCCTTTACAGAAGTTGTGTCATTAATATTGATATTAAAATCTGTGTTAAAAATTGTATCAGTCAAAATTCTTAGATAATGTCTAAAAATTTTTCATGTCAGATTCTGTTTTTCAAAAAAAGTTATATAACAAAACTTTAGTAACAGTCTCCCGAAGACTGAAACACATACAGAACTCTGAAGAGTAATTCTATTTATTGTGTTTTCTTGTGTGTGTGAATAATATTTGTACTGATCATTTTTAGGCAGTTATCATTTGTAAACGCTCACAGAATATTTTAGGTAGTTCTATGGTTTCTGCTTTTGAACTGTTGTATCAGTAGTTTTTTGTTTTAATTGGCTGTTAATTTGTATGATGACATGTAAAAACTGGGAAACTGGTGGCTTTCTTATACCTTTCATGAAATACAATACTGATTGTTTGCCCAAATGTTACCCCTTGGAAAAAAACGACGTTAATATTAGGTACAAAACACAACCAAACCCAGTTTTTAACTAGTTTAAAGCTTCTGATGTAGAGCTACTAGGATGGTTCTCTCTTGTACTGTAAACACTGATAACATAGAAATCTAAAAATTGACAATGTAAAACTCTAAACCACTGATATTTAGGTACATGTGTATTTAACTCATATATGTTTGTGCCCACAGTTTGCATTTAATGAAATCCCCAAATCACACAATATAAATGACAAAGTAAATGTTAAATACAGCCTGTAAAAATTGTCTTGTTCATACATTTGCCTGGTGTTGTGGAAATCTATAAAAGTATAATGTATGCAGCACAATGCTGTAATCTGCTCTCAGTGATATTTCTTCAATACACTGAGGAAGGAATATTTTCATCACTGATGATTAATTTTTTCCATTGATTAGTGGAGAGTTGATGTCACCGTAAGTATCAAAATAACATCTCGATGTTATTTCTATATGTTTCTATGTCTCAAAAACAGCAAATATTGACAAGATTAAGGATTCAAACACGAATAAACTTTGTTTCTTTTCATGTAGCTAAATAAGAGCTGAAATGCTTTTCGTATTCTTTGCTGCTCAATGCCTGCTCGCAAATCCATGATGTGGTTGATAACAGTTCTTGGTCAGAACTTTACACTGGAGCATTTTGTTGTTTCTTATTTATGTTTATATCAATCCTGGACAGTTTTGAAAGTATTCATTGGCTTTCTAGCATTCTTGTGTCTGAAGCCTTCTTAGAACATTCTTATTCCTGTTTTGAAACAATATTTAGCAGAAAAATGCAAATGGACTTGCATGAAAGAGTGTTTGGCAAAGAACTTGCAATTAAATAGTGATATTGAAGATTTAAATGAAAAAGCTTTTTTTTCCTGCAAAGCTTTCTTGATTTCTAGAATTTCTTGCCAAAATACTTCTGGAGCCAGGATTTTATCTTGTAGAACCAGGGAGGAGTTCCCAGGCATGGTCTGACTGTGCTGGAACAAGATCAAGCCAGGGAAGTTGGATTCCCCTGAGTGCAGGATGCACAATTGTTTCAGAAAGATCCTGGTCTAAAGTTAAGGTAAGGCTTAAGTGATATTTTCTATTAGCTCATGAACAACTTGAGAGACAAAAATGGTGCTTTTAAACCATGCAAAACATAGTAATATTTAGTGTGCAAAAGGAGTCAGTGAGAGAGTTCAGGTCACTTTCTGGTAAATCAATAAATCTGTTTGCATGTTAACTGGGCTTTGGCTTTTCTTAGTTACCAGGGATCATTTGCTGCAGTAATTGCAATACTTTAGAAGCATAAACCCCACATGTGAAAAAAAAAACAACACTCTGACATGTTCCAGTGCTTTAAAACAAGTCTCCATATAACCTGGATCTTGAGATAACCCAAAGAAAGTTTGGGGTCTTTTAGGGTTAATCCTCTGTATTATGTGAAGAACACCATACAGATGGGATCTGGAAACCTGTCTGGTGATGGAGGTGCAAACCACAAAATATGCAGTTAACCTTTCTCTTTGTAAAAAGTGTTTTAAGCTTTAACCTCTACAGAAAACTAATTTCCAGGATTGGTGTGCATTAACACCCCTATAGTAGTTCAGCCTGTCACATCTATAATTAAGTTTGTATCAGTATTTGTGATATATAAATTCAGCAAAAGTTCGTGAACACTAAGTCAGAACATTTAAAAGACCATTTATAGTGAATTTGTATTAAGGAAGTTGAGGGCACTTGATTTTTATACAAATATCTTTCTTTGCAGGCTACCATAGACCAGTTCATTTGAAATATCAAAGTCCCTAAAAGATGACAGAAATATGAAGAGTGTAAGCAGATCGATTTCTGAAGGTCTAATGATAAGGTTTGTCGGGGTGTTTTTTGGTTGGTTTTGGTTTTTTAATCAAATTTTAGTAGGTTTGCAGAATGCATGAGATGCCACTGCTGCTTTTTTTTTTTCCCCTCTGGAAAGTGGAGAATTATGTGGTTGATTTTGTTTTGTTGATGCCATCTATTTACTGTACTGACAGTCCTAGGGGCAGCTGGACGAGTTTTTTTGTGCCAGAGGATTCACATCTAAATTTACGTGATATTAAAAGGGGTTTTTTTCTTTTTTATTTTTGAAAAATATAATAAAGCTTTACAATATGAGGATGTAAGCTCTCAGGTACCATTTGAGATACTAATATTGTCATTATATAACCCTGTTAGGCTTTGCAAGATGGAAAAAGCTGAAAATGGACCTGAGGGCGAGCACAAAAGGAAATGCAATGTGGTGCTTCCAAAAGCAATCGGTCAGGAGAGAATTATTGCAAACCTGGGCCCTTCATGGGAGGAAGCTGCACAGGAGGCAGAAATGACTGAAATGACCTAGAGATGACAGTGCCTGTAAAAATATAGTGAGTGCTAACGATGCAGGACAGAGGGGGAAATGCAAACACGCCACGTTATGGATCAACAAATGGACAGGCCCTGGTTTTGGGGCACCACTGAGACCAGCTGCAAGTGCCTCGTTGGCAGGTATTAGTGGGAAGGAGAAAGGTAATAGCACAGAGTGTTGAGAAGAGGGGAAAAAAAAACAGGAAAAAGACTAAAATTGTTAGAAAAATTATTTTTGGTTTGGTGGTAGCATTAAAATTCTTTCTGCTTGTAGAGTGCACTGAATTACATATTTTGGTAAGTATTTTTTATCCAAAAATTATGTGTTTAACTCAACATGAATCTTTACATTTTCACATGAAGTGTATGTGTGTTATGTTATTTTTAATTTAACTTTTTCCCAGTTGCTACATTACTGATGTGTTGTTAATCACAGTGTCTCAGGAAGCAGCAATATTTGCTTATACATAGAAGTAAATGCATAAATGGCACCTCAACAAGGCAGCTCTGGTTCCCTCCAGCCACAGAGTATTCTGAGGCAAAAAGGAGCCTTGTGATAGGTGTAACTGTAGGTTAAAAACCCACAAACAAACAAACTCCTCTTTCTTCAGACCCTGTTTTTTAAGGTTTTTCCATGCTGGGAAGGTGCTGCCATTTGAGACTGCTGGGTTCTCTACAGCACATATCAGATGTGAAAGACATACACAAAAGCACTTCAGGCTTCTTGGACTCAGGTAAAATATTTAAGAAAAAAGCAAAGGAGTTACATTTTCCTTCAAGGTTAATTTTTGAGAAGGAATTTCTTTCGTATAGTCTCACTGCAAACTTATTTACTTATCAAGGTTCTCTGCTCAGTTTTCATAGGGTTTCAAAAATCCCTCCCTACTGACTGGTCTGAAATTATGAAGTGAACTGCAGACAAAGAAATGGATTTTTTTGTCAGTGATTGCTCACAATCTGGATATTACAGCAATTTCAGAGTCACCTGGAGGAGTCTGAAACCATTCTGTCCACTCTTGGCAAGGAAAGATTGTGTCCCAGACCTTAAACTAGAAGCTCTTCCAACGGTAACAGTGTCAGTCATACTGTGGGGGCAAATATTGGGATGCAGCTGAATGTCACTGGAAGGCAAGGTACTGTATATTAGACCTACATAATGAATGCAAATTGTTTTTTTAGGATCCAAATGGGAAAGCATAAAAGGCTACAAAAGCCTTAATTTATGATTTGTTCGTTTAGAGCTTCAGACCATTAAGTACCCATTAAATCACTATTTTATATGCTGCTAAGTGCATCTCTATCACCAGAATAAAAAAAGATTTTTTAAATTCACCCTGTATCAAATAAAACATTTTAATTGAGAGCATTTGTGATAACAAATTGACTGGAATCGAAAAATAAATTAATGCTGAGCTCTGATGACAGGACGTCTTTCTGATTTTGCTTTTAGTGCCTTGTAGGTACATGAACAGTTACATTATAAATATGTTTGTTTGTATTTCGATTTCAATCACAAACATTGTACCCCAAATAAAACTTTCATTGCACTGGCAGAGTTCCCTAGACTCATATCTGTCACAGTAACTTTTACCATGGAGCTCAAATAATAACTTTTTAACTGTTTTAACCTTTTAGCCTCCATTATTTAGGCTGTGTCCTAAAATGGGGAGCAGGCACAAGCAGATGAGAAGAAATCGCACATTTTCCTCCCTTTGGATATTTCACTGTTTGCTTTTGTTTCCAGAGAAGGCAAAGTTGTAACACCTGCCTTCAAAGAACATTGATTTGGAAATAATGACATTTTTTGGGAGGTCATTTTTGATTGCACTAAAACACTGCATTCCTGCAACTGAATTGGTTCCTTTTCTTTTGGTCGTGAGCTGCTCAGCCTTTCTACTACCATTATTGCCTGACCTCCAATTTTCTCTGTGGGGCTGAGAACTGCTCCTCCCAGGATGAAATAATTGGAATATGTGTAGCTAGATAACGACATACACAACTCTGCAGCAAATTGAAGGTCTTGTTCACTTATGCTAAAGATGTCTGAATTCCCAGAAGAAAGTATTCTAAAAAAAAATGCAGTTGGCAATCATTGATTTTAAAGCAAAATGTGTTGTCCTCTTTAATATAATAAATTGCTTCAATTTGGTTAAAACAAACCCAATACTTGATTTTCTGAAGAAAATTTTGGCATTAAGAAAATATTTCCAGACATAGTTTTTAGGTAAAATTATGTGCTAATAGCTCAGAAATTGAATTCTCTGTCAATAGATGCATCTGAAAAGGTCACCCTGTGTCTCCCAGGAACTGCTGGATTGCTCCTGTAACGACTATTTTCTCCGTAATGGGGAGATTCTCAGTGTGGGAAGGAGAAGCCAAAGAGCAGAAGGGCTGAAGAGAAGTTACCTGCAGCAACGTGCAGCTTGGAAAGGCAAGTAAAGGGCAATCCTGCAGCTCCTGGCTCAGACATGCTCACCAGTTAAGCAATTATATTACCTTGGGCTTCTCTGGGTAGTGTTTTCTGCCAGCCCATCTGGCCTGGTCCTTAACTTCTCCTGCAAGTTTTCTATTTGCAGCTCTTCCCCCTTCCCCAGAGTTGCTTCCCCCTCACGTTTTCCTACTTTCTGGCTCTGCCTTTCCCCCAACTTCTTCCCTATTATTGATCAAACAACAGCAGTCACTGAGAATTGCTGGGCAAGATCGTGCATTTTAATATCTGTTCTATGGGATTATTTGGGATGTTTTTAAAATCTGCCTTTAAAATATATTTAGTTTTAATCTGGTTTTAGTGGCCCTCCTGCTTATCCATACGTGAGTAATTCCTCTAACAGTTTTCAAATTCAGTACCTTTTCAGCCTAATTCAGAGTGGGAGGCAAATGTATGTACCTGCTGGGAATTTAAAAAAGAATTATTCTTAATTCTGTGTGAAAGGGTAGTTTCAAGAAAACGTTTGCTCATTCCATTAAGTTACCATATTGTCCTTTTTCTGAGGATTCCATTAATCTGTATTTGTCATTTATACAGACAAGGAACAACTCTGAAAGTGAAGGCATTTATCTATTTATCTGTTGATGGAAAATCACCTAGCACAGTATTTCAGTTTGCCTCAATTTTTTTTATTGAACTTGGAGATTTAACTCAGACCCAGTTAATGAAACTACGAATATTGGAAAGCAGAGAGAGAGATATTGTTGCTGAAATGGTAAATTGTGGTTTAATTCAATTTTAAGTTTCTATTTTTGTCATATTAGGTTAAATAAAGAGATTTAATGATGGGTATTCAATATTTTTTTCTTTTAGTAGCAGAGATGTGATCATCCCAGCCTGTTTAGCATTTGTCAGGTGGTGCCTACAGTACATGCCCTTTAAGAGAACTTGTGCACGTGGTTTTCAACAGCATCCCTCTGGCACTTTGTGGTGATGTTCTCTTTTATACCAAATCCTAAAACTCAGTGACCGAAAAACAGATTTATGCATATTTTTCAGGTATCATAGAAAAGACTTGACTCTAGATTGGGGGGTTTTTTTGTGTGGCTTTTGGTTTATTTTTTTTTCCCCTTTAGCTGACCTTTTGTTTCTGCCCATGGAAAATCAATCTTATATAATGCATTGGGAAACTCTCTCTCTTAAGACTCCCTGCCTTTCACTTTGGGTTATCCTCTCAGCCAAATCCTGCAAGATTATAATTGATTTTAAAAGTCAGCAGCAAAAGTATTTGATCCTTAGGTGACAAACAGTCAAAGAGGAGCCCTCAGGATCAGTGTTAAACGTCAATGAAATGAGATTCATGCTAGGATAGGCAGGTTACAAAAATTTAAATCCTGCTGTAATAGTGACAGTAATAAATGGAAACTCAGCAAAATGAAGCTATTAGTCAACAGTGTGTAATGTCATAAACTTGAACAAATGATTACAGAGCAGCTCAGGCCTGAATTAAAACCAAACAAGCTGAAACAAGCAATATCATTGAGATGGATAAATAAATTTATTCGAGTGGATATAATGACACCTACATTAGAATAAAAGCCAAAGTTTTAGCTGATCTGTTTAAGCTAATCTGGACATCATCACTCAAAATGGGCAACAGCACCTGCATGCACTGCTACTAGAATCAGGATTTGGAATGCTGAACCCTGTCGTTTTTGTTTTTTTTTCTTCTGTGGTGCTTAGAGAATCTCTATAGAAAACTATAGAGAGCTTCATAACGTCCTCATGAAAACTATTGCAACTATTTAGCATGAAGAGCACCTAAAACAATACTGGTACACAGAATGGCAAGGCAACCTTAGCAAAGAGCAAGGCTGAATTAAATTGACCTGGCATTAAAGAGCACAAAGCAGCCTGAAGGCACTTGGCCGTAGGAAGGGTGTATAGGATAAAACAACCAGAAAACTGCTTCCAGGGAGACAACCTTTCAGGGCACGTAATCTACATCCTGAGCCATAAGAAATACAAATAAGGAGAGAAAAAAAACAAATGGTTTCTGGGAAAAAAAAAATAATTAAATGGTGTAGCACACGGTGTTATGCTGCACTCTTACATGCAGCTTGTTTTCAAACAATGCAAAACACTGTGTTGAGGGATCTTAACAATGACTCTATTGATACTATAACAAGCTGCAATTTTTCTTGTAAGGTCAAGTGTTCCAAATTGCACCTTTAACACCTTCAGCAAACGCAGCAAAGAGTACTGTCATGATTTTTCAGCAGCAAGAATGCTAAGTGAAAATACTGGAATAGTCCAACTATAGTATACAAATAGAGTAAGAGATACTTGATGCCGAAATAACAAATTTTAAATTGTGCATAAAAATGAATTCTGCCACTGAAGTCATGCAAAGTTTCGCTATTTTTGCATATATGTTAGCAGAAAATATAATAATTTTCTTTCTTACAGGTTTAGAACAGCAGGTGACTTGTTAGCAGACCCAAGATGCTTCTGGAAGCAAAGCAGTGGTTCTGCATGATTCATCATACCTTTTGGATCACCTTGTTGTAGGTTGAAAACACCTGTAAAAACAACCTGTATTATTTCTTTGTGATCTGTGAGCCTCTGAAAATCTGGCTTCTTCAAAATGGCTATTTTTTAAGTGGAAAAATTGAGTTTTATTTCTCAGCCAAGACGTACTTAATTGGGATAGACCAGATTTCAGCTGATTTCACTATTTTTTTTCCCTGGAAGTAGGAAACTGCATGCAGATCTTGCATATAGGTCCACTGCTTTTAGCAAAGTCTCCAAAAATATAAATGCAGGTATAAAACTCAATCCAATGTGTTCAAGTGACAAGCAAAATAGAGGAGGAGTACCTGTGTAATACAGGAGTTTAAAATCAAGTGTGAATTTAATTTGCATTCGAGGCTCAAATATTTAATCACCTCAGATGAAAAGTAGTGCACTCAATTTATTCCACTCATGGTTCACTCAATGGGTGTCTCTGAGGTACTTGATCTCCACCCTGGGTGTTGAAGGGCTCTGCCTTTATCCACAAAGCAGCATCAGTCCAATTCCAAGCCCTTCCTTAACAGTCCTTTTTCCAGTCTGAGAGAGCAGAGAATTATCTTTGAGAAGTCAGTTGTCACAAGCATCCACGGCTCCAAGCTCACGTTATTCACATCAGTGGAAAGCCTTCTGCTATTGCTCAGAATGAGATGATTTTTAAATATTCTATCAGTGCTCTGAAACCTAGGCCTCCTCAGCCTTCTTCAAAGCAAGTGGAAGCTGGTTTTTTGACTTGAGGAAAGCTGACTGGAATCAATGGCTTGAAGGTCTGTCTGCCCTCCCTCCTCCTTTCCTTCCTTCCAGTCTGCATTCATGTGGTGGCTGTCCTATCTGTATCTCCAGGCAGCACAGGGAGGTAGGCACTCAACTCAGGCCCAAACGCCAAGCCAAAATAAACTAAACAATTCCCATCCTCTTATCTAACATTTTCAAGCTTGTGAGATGTTTTAGAGGGCACCTTGGTGACTTTGAGCCAGCTGGTGCCCTTGTAGCACTCTGTCTTGGCCGTGTTTTCAGTCCTATTTCCAAGGGCTTTCTGCTGTTTTTCCCCTGGTTGTACTAAAATCTGCTTGTTGCCTTGACAAATATTTGTTTCTGTTTCTGTGTAAGTAAACATCTGACATAAAATTGTCTCAGGATTCTATATGCAGATGACTGCTCTGCTACTGTTTACCAGAGTTCAAAACCTGGGCAAACAGCAATTTGTTTGGGCTGAGTAAGTAATACTTTATTTTAGAGGGCACAAATAGCCATGTAATTATTTTGAATTAAGAAATTACCATATCATTTCAGGCTCATTACATGGGTATTTATTCTCAGCAGATTATATGCAGGCTGTTACAATAGTAACTAGTGTAACTTTTGTTTTGAAAGGGAAATAGGGTAGTAATGAAAGGAGGAACCTGCCTCTGGTGAGCTTGCAATCCTTAAAATGGCAGTGCCACCACAAAAGTGTGGAGCTCCATTTTCAACTGGAAAATAATAGCTGTTCTTGCATAGTGTTTTAGTGAAGAAGCAACTAGCAATAATGCACTCATTTATTTTTATTTACATATTTCTCACAAGGAAACCCAGGAGCTTTGGGAACCATAACTCAGGCAGAGGCTCTTAGAACAGCTTGCTGATTGCTGGCTCAGCTTGTTGTTCATTCCTACCTGGAAGGCAGGAATCTCAGCAGAGCCTCAAGGCTTGATTTCGGGGCTCAGGCTCTGAGCACCACTCCCTGAATTCCACAGATTGGTGTTTTATGGAGTTAGTGCGAACCACGAGATTTGGGAATGATATGCATAATTCCATCCATGGTTTTGATGTGAGGGATGGATTTTTAAATGATAGTGGGCCAGGTGTGCAGCACAGGCATTGCCACAGAGCTTTTCATGTGCATGAGAAAGCAGCAGGAGGTGCTGGCAAAAATGACAGCTCTGGACAACCCATGTTGTCAAAGTACTGCAACAGAGCAGGTAAAAACATAGTCAAACTGGGTAATGATATGTATGATTTATGTATTCCTAGCAGAGAATAGGTAGTTGTAATTCCCTGAGGATCAGTCCTGGCATGGGTTAGGATATATCCACGTGTTTCAACACCTCTAATAGAGCAGCGAGCTGGCTGTTAATGCAAATTCCCTTCTGTTTTCTCAGTGTCCATCAAGCTTCTGTGCTGGACTGCACCGTGAGGGTATTGCGTGTGTCCACCTTTCTGCCATGAGCCTCCCGCCTTACATTCATCCCAGAGAGCCTGACCATGGATAACGGGATCAGCAACCTCTGAGGAGCCTGAGCCAGTGGACACAGAAAGTCTTCAGGCCTCCATCACCTTCCAGCTTGTGCTGTAGGACACTCACCTGGCCTGAGTCCTCCACTTCCCCAGTTCAGCTTCCTCTAACAAGAGTAAGATTGCTCTGGCTTTCCTTTCATGATTCTAAATGCTTATTTAATCTCTCTAATCTTCTTAGCACCAGCTGAAAAGACTAGCACACAAAAAACGTGAGAAATATTTGTGGTGAGGTAGAAATTCACCTAGTCATAAAATAATTGCTTCTAAACTGTTAGTCATTCATGGCATGATTCTAATTGCATTATACTTAGGGGATCATAATGAAACAGACTTCCAGATTTACCCTGGAGCACTTCTTCTGCAGTATTGGATTGGAAAGCTGTAATTTAAATAAATGAAATGAGTAACCAAAGACAGAATTTCCCTCTCCCCAGTATGTCTCATATAAAAAAAAAAAGAAGGAAAAAAAGAAGAAAACTGTCTTGTTTAAGTAATTAGTGAGATGCTGACAAAATGCAGGAGGTGTGCAGTGGATATTTTGTATCTCAGATGAAAACAAATTAAAAAAGACGATTTCTGTATAGACAAACTGAGCTTGTTTTCGGGAGGGACAAATTCTTATTTTTGTATGATCAACTAAAGACAAAAGAGGCAGTGAGAGCAAAAATGTTCAAGAAAGCCTGACAATAACCTTGTTGTTAATTTTAGAAAGGGAGAGCCATAACATTGAGAAAGCCCTTAGGTGTGTCATACAGCTGTCAGACCTTGGGTCTGAGGCTGGAGGAGATAATGACTGTGTTTGCTGCTCAGTGCAAGAGAAACCAATAGAAGGTTTGAGGGATGGCAGTGTTTTGCTGTGATATGCAATAACAAGAAATTGCTAAATTCTACCTCAGCCCCTTCCCTGTTTTCTCCTCCACTCCCATGAGGTCACTCTGCCTGAACTGCTTTCCTCAGCCACAGTTGCAGTTCCCTCAAATTCACACTTAGCTCCCTATCACAGAGTCAGGGCTTTGCTGCAAGTCACAACTCACTTCTTATTCCAATTCAGTGCACCTCCTTCTTTGGTCTTGTTCCTTTTAAAAACTGGCTTGATTTCAGTTAATTAATTCAGGTCAGTGCATTCCTTCCACAGATGGTTGGAACCAGACTCTTTTCCAAAGGCTTGGAGAGTGAGCATGTCCAGTGAGATTGGGCTGATGTTAAAAAGCAGAAGGTTGGCCAACTCACCTTAATGTGAGCTAATGAGGATAACACAACTACACATCTCAGACTGGTTTTTAGATAAAAGTCTTTTACTGACAGATCACCCCTATACATCTGAATATTGCCCTCGTGTTAGAAGATTTACCTCTGAAACAAAAGCTGCTTGTGCATTTACCCCACCCTCACACTTACTCCTATATTTTCTTCCCTTTTCTAATTCCTCTTTTTCAGCACTGGGAAGGAGAACCATTCTTTCTGTGTCCTTTTCTCACCCCTGATAATTTACAGTGTTCTTAGAAAAGGTGCAGTGAAGATGAGCACTTTCAGAGTGACCCTTCACAGTATATATCAATAGATGGCAGTAGCTGAATCTCATTGGAAAGAACATACCTGTAAAAATGTCATAATTGGCTTTTTCTGTAAGACAAAAATGAATGCACACTTTATGGATTAAAAGAAATGCAAGTTATTTCATAAATCAGAGTCAAAGTACAATTTCCCTTTTTCATTCTCGAAAGTTTTGATAGCAAAAGTTGCTTTAAACAGCATCCAGTTTGCTGGAAGCCAAAAATTGAAAGACTCCACAGGTTCAAAAACAGGATCAGAAACGTGGATCTGTTCAAGTCCATGAATCTTTCCTTGGAACCGGGTTGGAGACTTGTTACTGATGACATGGCCATGACATTCACTTACAAAACAGACTGTCAATACCTGCACTATAGTTTGGAGCCAGAAAGTCCTGCATCCCAAGTGGATTAGCTTGTTTTTGAAATTTCCCCAAATGTTTTCCTAATGCCAATCCAAATATTGTGTAGGACTCTTGTAAATACAATCTAATCTCATTATTTTGTAGTATCCTGTATGTGAACACATCTATTTTAATGTCTCCAGTTTACCTGAAAGCAAAATTTCAAAGTACTCTGTAATCACCATTGTTTTAATGGAGTAAGTCCAAAAAGCTGGTCTGTTAATCAGTAACTCGAGTATCTGTAACACATTTTCAAGATGTTCATGTTTTTTATTTAATTTTCAAAAATTCGGAAGTCCCAGTCTCCTTCAGTGGCAATTTATTCTTCTCCTTTCATGGCTCCTACTTATTTTCCTGTAGTACAAAATTTACAATTTGTTATTGTAATGCTGGAAAAGTTTTGACAAAATCAAAATCTGTTTTCACATATGTATTATACATTTTAAGTGAAAACTCATTTTGAAGCATCACATGGATTTTTAGACCACTTAGATTTTTCTCATCAGAAGCAGAATGTCACCAAAATTAGCATAAGCCAGTAAATTAAAGCATATGGCTGCTGATGTATCAAAACTTCTTGATGGGAAAAACAGAGCCCTCTGGCAGAACATTTCTGAGCACTGTTATCATCTGAATTCCTGGATCTGTGGAAATATTTTGTGCTTATTTGCAAGCACAGTGGTTTTTTAAGTCTTGATCGTGATTATTTAAATTCTTTTGTTTATAATTCAAAGGTTTTTTTGCTTCTCCCTTTCTGTAAGTGTTTAAGTGATGCTCCAGTAAGAAACATTCTGAACAGATATATTTTTGTGACATTTATTCTGTGAGCAGTTGGGGGAAATGCACTGCCTGGTAATTGGCAAACCAATATTTTCAGATTTCTAGTTGAGTTCAGAGGATAGTAAAATGCTGGAAGCTTATGCTCAGTATTATCTAAGTTCTATGAGCCTTGCATTAGCAAAACCATGTTGCAGTCTGAAAGAACCAATTTTTTCATGATATGTAAAGTACATTTTCTCTGGATAGAAAATGTGTGAGGGTAATTATTTTTGTGTGCTGTTATGAAACTGCTTACTTGTTGCTGTATTGGTTTAAAATGGTAACTCGATAATGATTAATAATTATTATTTCAGGCTTTGACCAGGTGTTCTTGTCCACTCCAGTCTCCAGGTCAGCCAGAATGCACCTGTATTGCATATATATCTACTTATACAATGATTTTTGCACTTCTCATTCTGCTCCCTCTTTCTTTTACAAGCTAAAGCTACTAAGATAGATGGCTTCATGCTTCTGCATGCAAGCTAAATAGATGTAATTTTAATCCAAATGTGAATTTTACTTGCATATCTACAAGATGATACGGTACATTCAGTTTGAGCGAGATGCATTTTTGATGATGAAAAAGAATTTAAAACGGGAGAAGAATGTTACCCATCGTTTTCCCCAAATCATGATACATGATTTCACTCAAACATCTGTCAGCCACACAGTAGTTCATTTTCCTGAATCAAACCTTAGAGAAGCTAAGGAACAATAACGTTGCTCAAAGAAAATTGAGCACCCGCTGGGCAAATGATATTATTGTTTTCAGCTGCTTGGAAGTCTAAATTCTGAACTGTTTTGACTGGAAGAGCCAACTGTTTCCAGAGGTGTGTCCCGGTGCCCCTTCCTCGCTCACACAGTGGCACAGGCCGCAGTTTGTATTCCCAGATAAAAGCCACGTTTGAAGTGACACCTGTGCTTTTCTCAGTTCTTTGAAAGTCCAGAGCTCAGATATGATCTTTCCTGAAATCACATTCGACCTGTACTGCAGTCCAAGGGTGGAAATGAAGAGATTTAGCTTAATAAGATTAATCTTTATCTGCTTGAGGTATCTGTCTGGAGCAGAGCCCGGGCCTGTGAGCTGCACCCATTTCTTGGAGCAATGCAGTCACTCGATGCAAGTTTGCACTCAGAGATCTGCTGTGAAGAATTAAGCAGGATTTTTTTTTTTCCCCACAGACATTTCATGTAAGTAACAAAATCTATCCTTACTTAATATAAAGAGAAAAAATCCCCAAGCTGCTAGAGGAGAAGGTGGATTTCCAGGGATTAAAAAAACCCCAAACACACTTCATAATGGTGCTGAGCTTTAAAGAAAATTGCCTGATCCTGTTTACCAAGATAACTGTTTTTTCAGTCATGGGGTTTTAGAAACCTTTTACTACAGTAAGAAATTCTCATCCATATTTGGGACCATTCTGAAAGATGCATATTACATTATTCTAGTCTAAATTTTTTTGTTATTGCCAGTAAAAATAGGATTTCCTTTTCATCAGGTGAATGATATTAACTGTACTGGCTAAGACTGTGGGGTGTAATGCTACATGCAGGTGTTTAAAAATGAAAACTATTATTTAATTCCAAAATGCATATTATTTCACATCATCAGGACTAAAAAAAGACTGCTTCTTTAAATGTAAATGCAAGTGTATGTAGCTCAAGGATCAAGGTGGTGCTGTAAGAGACACAGACACAATAATGTACATTTTATAAAAGTTTAAAGTTTTAACTGAAAAAAAACCAAAACCCAACCCCAAAATAAATGTCAATCTCTTTCTCTCTGTTCGTTGGTCACTTCACCCCTAGAAAATTAAATAGAGAAAAAAAAGGGGATAAACTTATAATACAGTGAGTTATCTTTACTTCACATCATCTATTTCCAATCCTGCTGTTCTTTTAGCTGTGGAGCTACAGATGGTGGTTGCACTGTGGAGTTCCCGAAAGCACCATGTAGATTCAAGCACCAGACCATCAGAATCCCAGCTGCTAGCTAACAACCCAGTCTTGATTTAATTTAATCTCATTTTTTCCTGTTTCTAATTATTTTTCCTTCCACTAGAGTGGAAACAAGTTTAAAAGAAGAAATAAAAAAAAGTATAAAAATATAGAAGAAACATAGATATTACTACCAACATTTTTTTTATTCTCCTTGGCCTCCTACTCTGCTTAAGATTCACAGCTTCTATTTTGTGAGGATTATTGGGATGATGAATAAATGCTGTGAAGTTTATTTCACAGTCTTTAAGTCTTCTCTCGGAGTCATTTGGATTTGCAAACTTTCACAGTACTTTGGCAGCACTCCTTGATGTTTTTCTCCAAGACAGATACCCTTCCACAGCAGCATTATTTCAGTCTTTCCTTACACTCAAGAGTGGTCACTAGGACAAAAACCTTAATAAGATCTATTGAGTTTGTCCTTATCCACTCAGTGCATTACTCGACTCATGAGAACTTTCTAGGTTCCAAACAGAGGATGAAAACCAGCCATTCTTGTACTCTCATCTCTGTCAAACAACTTGACCTAATTTCTGATGACTCTACTAAGATTTTGAAGCAACCTGCTCCTACTAGAAACCTCCATAGAGTAAATGCAATCTGAATTTAAAAGCTCAGAATAAATACACCAGGATCCTTCTTTCTTTTTCAAAATGCAGGTCATCCCTGGGAATTCTCCCTGATCTCTCTGGATAATTCTGCACCAGACAGATCCAGAGGGCCCCCGAATCCAGAGATCCCAGGTGCAACCAGCTCTTTGTTAAGGTGAGATCTCCTTTCCTCTTGCTTCCCAGTTGTCCTTGGATGAGTGTCAACAAATCAAAGTATGCTTCAAGCATTTTCCTGATGTGGGGACAGGATCCTGGAGCATGCAGTGGGGGTTCTGCCAGTGAAATGCTGACTTCTCTCTAATCTTTCCTAGCATAAATTAGACCACTGGCTCAAAGATGACTTCTAGCAGTGCTTTAAACAATTTTAGCCAGACAGGTGATGTGAATATGTATTATTTACTGATGTTTTTTCCAGCTCAGTTTTTTGACCTCTCCCCAGATTGACCCGCTGTCATGCTTAATAACATCAGTATGCTTATTTTGCCTTCTGAAAATACATTTTGTTTATAATACAGATTCACAGAGATCCTGTTTTAGTACTGAGGGAGTTTTGCTATAGTGCTGGTTGTGTGCTGGGGTACCCAGAGGCTGTGGAAGCAGTCTAACATTATTGTTTCAATCCAAACAAATATGGTAAAGACATGAAGAAACCTTAAAAACACATTCATGTACATGCTTTCTGCTAGAGCCGTGAAACGGCAGCAAATCTAAAAAAAATGTATCAAATGATGATTTTCTATTGTGATTAGTTCATATATCAAAAGAAACCTGTGGCTTTTCAGCCTTTAATTAAACCATAGGTGCTTCTTTGTTTCTCCTTCCTACGTATGTTTTGCTTTTAACAAGGGTGGAAAGCCTAAAATGGTTCAGGGCTGTGCTTTGTCTCAGAAATGGCTCCGACCTGGCGCTCTGAGGATGATGGCAAGCCTGTGGTTTGCTGTGAATTAGCTCAGTGCACTTGCTGGGACTGGGAATCATGTACTGTAACTAAGGCGATAGACCATTCCCAGGATTCATTCTGTCAGGTTCAGGGAGCCTCCTGCAAAGTGCTTGCTTTTAGTGCCTTTTGGAGGACTTCAAAGAACACCAGGTTTTGGGGAGGGGGGGAATATAGCAAAAGTACCCAACTCCTAATGCAAATGCGTTGTTTCCTGTCAGCTTTGCTAAGTAGGGGCAGTGTGGTACAGTTCATTGCTGAAGAGGAAAACTCAGTTTTCCAGCAATACCCCTTGTATTTTTTTTCAGGCAGGGAAAGGATCTGTTTTCTGTTTCAGGTTTTAAAATATGATGTGTAAGAGGGACTGCATTTCTTTTCTCAGGCTGCAAGAGTAAATACTATATATTACATCTAACTACTATTTATGCAGAGTCTAATGAATTTGCTGGATTCAGCGGTATATTAAAAATGTAAAAATATTTATTTCTGAGATTTATTTAAAAAATAATAAAAAAATAGTTTAAAAAAGCATTCTGGAAGAGTTTTTGAGGCATGAGTTTTCTCCCTTGCGTTTCAGGTAGGGATGTTTCCTGGAGCTGTGAGCATAAGCTTGGCTCATCCCTTAAGATCCATACTTGGATGGTAGCCCGTATGGAGAAGAGTTTAGCTATCTGAGCTACACAGTCCTTCACACAAGGAGGCTTTTCTGAGGGATTTGAGAGGGTAGTGAAGTGGGCAATACCAGTAGAAGAGTTTGGCAGGCTGAGGAGAAACATCCCAGCTGGGAGGCTGTAAGCACAAATAGCTGATCCCTCAGCTTTTCTTTTTACCTCTGCTTCTAAAGAGCAGCACGTGGTGTCTTAGGAAGCTTGAAGTGCACACCACTCTGCTGGACTCTGTAGTGTTTTCTATCCATCTTCAGGAAAACAAGAGCCAAGTGCCAGAGTGTTTTTGGGAGGCATTGCAGGATCCAAAGTTCGGGTCGCAGGTGAACAAGCCACACTCTCCAAACGTGTGATTAGCCCTCATTCCATTCACTCTCAAGTGGAACCTTCCAAGATTTACAGCTGGTTTGTCCTTTGTTTTGTTTATTTTTTTCCCTCTCAGTTACACACTCATGTAAAAGCCCAGGCTAATCTAGAGTGTAGCATGATCGAGGATTTTGCTTATTCATAACAATTTAGTAAGCTGTGCAAAGATAGTGCTATTTTAAAAGTTTTTAGATTGTATCTCTTCCTAAAGAGTAGAAAATGCAAATGGCTTAATACAATCAACTGTATCTGCTTAGACTTGCTAAATCATGAGGAGTCATGGTGCAAAACAACACAGCTCTCTTCCAGGCAACATTCTAAATTTATGGTACAATGATGCCAGATGACAATGGAATTGCGAAGGAAGTGCTTAGTACCTCAGAAATTAATACCTAGCGAGTCCATTTTTTTATGGTGATGATTATAAGTATTCACTCTGTGTTTGAATATAATCCTCTCAGAACAGCAGTTTACTAAATGTACTGGAGATTATTGAACAAAGTACAAGTTGAGGTCACGTTTGGGTCTTCATTGGGCAAATAACTATCATTTTCTTCTCAATCAAAAACAAAATTGCAATGTTGCAGGAGGCACTCAGGTTTGGTGGATACAAATGGGAAGTTGATACCCGTGCTCTGAGCAATTCAGAGCTACGCAGAGGAAAACAAGCACATCACACTTCTTAGTTATGAGAATAAGTGTATTATTTCACTTCAGGAGCTGTTACTTGAATGTGAAAACACTGACCAAACACACTAAGAGGTGGCAATGCTACTGAGTCCCATGCAGGGATGGACACCTGCCTTAGTGTAAATACTCACAGAGGTACAGAGATGATAAATAGGAGGGAGGGAGGAAGGAATTCAGCCTCTCCCAAACCTTTCCATTGCTCACTTCAAACAGAAATTTCACAACCTCTGCTTTATGATCCATTTGTTCTATTATGTACCTATTTTATTTGGAGTAACAAATCAGTTATAAACATTTATTTTTAGCACTGAATCACACTTCTGGGCACACTTAAGCAGAGCTCGTGTATGGTCTGTCCAGTACTCTGCGTGCAACTCTTTGCATCAGATGAAAAATGCACAACTTAATCAATTGTAACTGTAGCTATATACCAGGAGGGCTGTTTGATCTTAAATCTGAAGAAATCATCATGACTTTGTTTATTATTTCCAATTTCACAGTCTCACGCAAAATGCAAGAGTTTATTTTAGCAGCAATCGTAAAATTGAATAATTTGTTTCTAGACATACTCTTTGCTAATTCGTGATGCAGTAAATTTTTTTCAGTCAGTTTTGTGTCTTTTGCCACAGCTCCTCATATTTACATACAGACCCAGAGAAGCAACTATGAGAACTGGAAAAACAGTGACAGAATTGTGGATGGCATATGGTGTACTTCGCCTAATTAGGACGAAGTGCAATTTATTCCAAGTGCAAGGGAAGGACAAAGAGGGTCACTAACGGCATTTGTGTTAAACTGTGAATTTCACTCCTCACTTTTCCCCCCTCTGAAGTGGAATTTCTCCTGCCTGTGTTACTCGGGAGGTGATGTCAATGCACTGTAGGACATTAACAAGACCAACCCTCTTAGCTTTGAGGTTTGACTTTTTTCCCCCTCCCCCAGCCTCCTCTTAATGATGTGACAGTTTGTTGCTGCAGGAGAGAGACAGAGCTGCATCTCTGGTAAGTAAAGGTCAGACGCCCAGGGCTGCACAGGCTGCTGTGCTGATCAGAGCCGGGGAGAAAAGAGAGGAGTGATGGCTTCTCAGTGTTAAGAGTGGCCTCACAGAAGAAATGTATTTGAAATAACAGTGGTTTGAAGCAGCATGTCACTAACCTCCAGTTCTGCATATTAAAAAAAAAAAATAAAAAAATCCCAAGCCCTTGAATATTTAATGATAGCTGAACAAACTTGGAGTGACCCAAGGAAGATGGAAAGTCACAGAAGTTAATGCTCCCAAAATACAGCAGAGCTCAGTAGTCCTTTAAAGCCATTAAAGAGCTTTTACCATCTGTTAAGTAATTACCTATCATCATTAGTTATTAGAAGTAGGAAATGATGTAAAGGGCACCAACACAGCAGAAAAAGAACAGCCAGATTCTTGTGGGTTTCTTGAATGAGGTCATTAAAACGTGGTTATTAATACTGAAATAAAAATGAAAAACATTTATAGGCGATGTTGTAGCTGCTCTGTTTCAAAAAAAGAAAGCACTGCATTTTTCCTGACAGTAAATATTTAGCTCAAGTCTTGCACTTGTTACTAGCATGAGATAAAATCTCCAAAAAACAACATAAGATGATGAAGATTTAAGGTTTCTGAATTCAATGCATTATAGCTCAGCTAAAACCAATTACGGAAAACTCAATTTGAGGATCATGACTTGGAACAGATTAAAACCAAGTAACCAAAAACCCCCAAAGCTGTGTGTGCTTTTAAGCTGCATGATTCTACATGCAAACATATGCGCACATTCTTACTTGTACACCAATATGGGCTTTGATTTCCCTAATTCTAATTTCTTTTTTTCACCCTTCTTAGTCAAAGTAGGTTCCTGAAAATGTATTTCTTTCTAGGCATTAGCTGCATATCTTTAAGCATTCTGCAAGAATTGAAGTCTACGGGACTCAGGTTGCACTGGGATCCTTGGGTATAGGTTTTGCAATTTTTTAGTTTTATTTCCTTCAGCAAGCTGATATATCTCACTGCAAGTTCATAATACACATTAGAGTTATACAAATGCATAAAAGCCCTGTTCTGGAGGTTTTTTAAAATGTGCTCTCAGTTGTTTTTCATGGAGTAGTTCAATTCTAAAAATGATGTGGTTTTCTAGTAAAGGAGGATAATTCTGTGTCAGTCAAGAAAACTCAGAAGGGTGAAGGTTGTTTTTGATGTATTTAAATTTGAATTCTGATAGCTGTACCTATTTCTTCTCAGGTTCTCTGCTGGAAAAGTGCTTGCAGACACATTATTGGGCCTCCTATAAAACTAAAAATGGTTTCAATGAGTGAAGTTGTTCCGGAGGCAGTTTGTGAGGGCTGACTTTGCCTATACTGCAACGGAGTGAATGTTGAGAAAATACCTCTTCCTTGGCAAAATTGCTTGGCTGTTTGTGAAAAACCTAAAAAGCCCATAAGTGGCAAAGGATGAGCTGTGCCTGTGTCAAGGCACACAAAGGGCCTGTCCTGAATGTGTGCTTTGAGACCTCAGTGCTGAGAAACTGCCAGTATCCAAAGCAAATAGTGCCCAAGTGAGCGGCCTGCCCTGGTCGTGTAGTTGCACAAAAAGAATAGAAATAAAAGAAACTGTTGAACCATCTAGAAATCAAAGAGAAAGTCATGCCCAGGCTGCCCAGGCTAACCATGGTTTATGGCTGCAATAACAAGATAACTGTGTAAGAAATGGGCAAATCTCATACATTAAAAAATGGGGAGTTTGGAAATTGCTATGGTGGATGATCAAGAAAGAAGTACAGTAAACATCAAAAAAGGGGAATTAGGACAGCAAAACCAGGGCCACTGGGGTAAGAGAACACAGGGCAAGCTATGTAATGGGGAGACAAGGGATGAACATGGGAAGGGGAAAAGGTAATAAAAGGAGTAAAAACTGGTGCTGCTCCAGGGCTCCTTTCAACAGCCCCATGCCTGATCAATGCAGTTGTTCCCACCATGATCCTGTCTGACTTTCTCTCCCATCCAGAAGGGGGATGGTGCACCTTCCCTGACCTTGTGGGATCCCCATGAGCTCATCCCAGCATCGAGCATGGATGGGAGCAACTCAGGGAACACAGCATCACCTTCCCTTCACGACCCTCTGCATGAGGCTGCTGGATCTGTGGCTGCAGACATTGAAGGACTGCAATGTCTCTCTGTGTATGTATGGCCTTCTTTCTTTCTAGGGGTCTATTGCAAAATCTAGTGAATAATATTGAATTACTTTATTCCTTGGAGTAATTTTTCCCTGTGCAATTTCTTTTTAATATGTGTGGTATGCCATATATAAAATGCACCACATATTTAAAAAAAAAAACAAACACAATTTTATTTTGGTTTTGGCAGCTGCAAGTCTAAACATTTAGGTAAAGAACAGAGGCATTAGGTTTGTGCTGCCAAAATCTTACTCATAAGGTACTTTATCCCATTATTTTTTCCATCTGTTTTGTCTCTTAGAGATTATTGCAGCAGCTTAAGAGTTTGATTTGTTTCCACCAAGGCATAGGAAGAGAATCTGTGAAGAGTCAGAACTGCTTAAAACCACAGTCTTAACTGCTGAAATATTCTGTTTATGAAAATACTTTCTGAATTTATGTTCAAAATCCTCTGCCTGATTTGCTGAATGAGGAGGAAGAGAGAGCAGGGGATTTTTCTCTGTCAGGTCTCCGCAAGCACGGCTGTGTTGAATATTTAAATACAGCATTTGCTGTCGGTGCATATTGTTATACACTTTTTTGGGGGGAACAACAATCTGTGGAAGATTATGTTTGCCTTTTCATTAGAGTAAAAACAAAAATACCAAACAAGCACTGAATTATATTTTCATGTAAGTTGATGTTATGTTCTGTTTTAATCAAAAATTGTTTGGGAGTATCTCTCCCCTTTGTTGCTTCAAACCCAAGCAGCAGTTTTGGTAGGGACAGTGTGTTGTCTGGATGATGGTGGTGGTAAAGGAACTTGGAACAAAGACAATATTTGCAAAAGTGAGTACCATTTAATCTGTATTCAGACACCTGACTAAGAGCTGGACTGCACAGTCCTTGAGTATCCAAGGCCCTTCTGCAGAAGGAACTTCATTCTGCAGAATTGTTCTGTCTATGTGGACAGCTTCATCTGCTCTCAGACTCCCCCTGCACCTGAAACATGTCTCCAGTCCATAAATAACAGTGTCTTGCTGGCACTGAGCCTCAGTCCTGGCAGCTGATTTATGGACCTTCAGGAAGAGCAGGCCAGCCCTTGAGGCCAGAGACTCACCCCTCCATATTTTAACATCCAGGAGGATGTAAGGGTGGCAAAGCTGAAACACTGACCTTCTCATGCATTGCAATATACCATATATCAGGTAGTGCAATCGTTGGGTTAATGCTGGAAAAGCAGCTACCAGTAGAAGGTTTACTGTGAAATAAGCAGAAATTTAGCATGCCTGAAAATGGAAAGGGAGCTCAAGAACTGTATGTCACAGCCTTTGTTCACTGTGATCTGAAAAAATGTGTAAAAATAATTTTGGTTTGGGTTTTTGTTTGGCTTCCCCCCCACACCCCTAGAAAAATGGAGACAGGTTACCTGAGCAATGGTTGAGGAGAGGACTGCAACCAGGGCATCTCAATGGCATTTGAAGGTAACAAAATGTCTATGGGGTGAGTAAATCTGTGTATTGGTACCAGCACCAAGTCCCTTGATGCATTCTCAGTAAGTTAGAAGTTGCAGCATGTCGAAAGCTGTGACAAAGAAGGTGTGACAGTTGAAAAGGAAATATCAAAAAAAAAAGTAAAATAAATCTTTGAACGAGCTGAACTCTAAATAATTAAAACTCGCAAAAAGTGTAAGAAGTGAAGCAGAAATAATTGTTGGTGCTAATATTTAAAAGCTATGAAATGCCTGCATGTGTCCAGGCATCATTTTCTTTTCTAAGATGTCAGATTTTACATGACAGAAAGTTATCACCCCCAGACTGGTATTTTTGGAACTGCTCAGTGTCTAGTCAGTTAGTGAGAGCAGTTAACAATTGCAAGCTTCATGCCTGGAAATAAAATCAACGTGAGTGTTCCTGCTGTTGGCTGAGTTGGGCTGAGGGTGGGCAGGTTGATGGTGGACAGTGATGGGACCTTCAGTGCCCAGCAGATGCCCACTTTACCCACTGCAATATGCTTTTAATCATAACTTGCTTTCTATCCCTACTAGCAAGGATTTGGGTGGGTCAGCTGGAACACAGAAACCCAAAGAGTAAGTGGTACCCTGGATCTTAACCTAGAGGCATAACAGCCATTTCACTCTATAAATCTATAAATACTGCTACAAGCCTTTTGTTGTAATGTTGCTGGAAGAGCTTTTATTTTCATATTGCAAAAATAGGAAGAAAGCGTCGGGTTAAGACGATGCTGTAGCCAGCAGGAACAAGGGAGAGTAGCGGCGCTCTGTGACAGCAGAAATAAAAGCACAAGCAGGGAACCACACTGCAAACCATACCCACCAGGAACTACTAAAAATCAGGAGCTGCCCCATGCAGGCTGGAGAGCTGCCACCCGTGGAGAGAGAGAACCCTGGAGCTGCACAGGGCACAGCTGTGGAGGGCAAGCTGGGGAGTCACGCTGGGTTTGTGAGGGAAGGAGAGCTGGGGGAGCAGGGGATGAAGTTTCTAAGCATTGCAATTTTGCTGTGATTTGTTCAGGATGGGCTGCTCACCCGTGAAGCAGGAGATAGCTGCTTTTTTCCTGCTTTTGATTTCTTTTCTTACTTTTTTGGTTTTCTTCTCTATTGCTGCAGAGCTTTTGTCAGGTCGGTGAGTTGAAACATCCTCCAGCAGGGTCAGACAGGAGGTACAGACAGCCCAAAAAGGGCTTCTCAGAGAGGGACATGAGAGAGGCATAAAGAGGGAACAGGGAATGGGAGAAGCTGCAAATCTGGTGTGTCCCAGCTTGTGCCCCTTCCTCCTGAGCCTGGTGCTGCAGAGGGGTGGTCCTGGAGCTGAGGCCTCCAGGTCCTGCTGTGGGTGTCCATGGCCTCAAAGCTGTCAAAGTTGTGAGCACGGCAGGTCCACTTGGCATCCACAGCTCCCATCCCAAATAGGTGTGCTTGAACACTTTCCAACCACTGTTAAGAGAGGGCCAGTGGAGACAGATTGTGCAGTATCTTCCATGATTGCAGTGACTGCTCTGGTAGCTGTGTGCTCCTCTGTTTGTTAATCCCCACTGTCCTCACTGTTGATTTAAATACCTTTATGTGGCATTTGCAGACTAATGGAGCACGGGGACCCAGAAGGAGCCTCTGAAAGGTTGTCTGATATGATCCACATAAATCAGAGCCCATTCATCCTTGCACACGATCCCCTGCCTGCGTAGACGTGGCTTCTGCAGCAAAAAATAGAGATAAGTAGCAAAAGCTGCTCAAGGAGAAGCCTCATTGTACGTGTTATGACAGTCGGGAGAGGGATTAATCCTGGCAGTGTTTCCTTGTATTTGTTAAGGCAGATGATACACAGTGACAATGGCAGCTGCTCCTTTCCACAGCGCTGCTGAGGAAACCTTACCTGCATGTTCCTTCAGAGGTGCATAATGCATCATTCCTAGCTCACAGGGGTGATCAAGCCCACAGGTGACAAACACTCCTGTGGCACCACACATAAACATAGCACCTTATTAGCTCACATTTTGAAGAGCCTTCTCTGGAGGAATGTAAAGGCTGTGAGTGTCATGGTCTGAGAGCAGCACAGACACATCCCCTTCCGTGTTCATGGATCAACAGCCTTTCCTGGAGTACGTAGCTAAGCCCTTTCTCTATGCTTTTGTTTTCATAATCTGCAGAGAAAGAGCAAGGCTTTTTTCCTGCCTCACTGAGTGTGTTGGTTTAGTGCCTGTGTGTAGCTTAGCTAAGGCAAAAGAGAGTTGGTACCACTCAGAACAGCACTCAAATCGTTGGGCTACTTGAGGAAAAAGTGTTTCTCAATCACTCCTTTTGAACCCACTGCATTTAACATAGAAGTGCTAAACATGAGTGGAATGAGTGGAAAGGAATAAAGAGCTTTGATTTGTCAATGCTGGTGATGAATGGTGGTGGTGATGGGAACTCTGGGCTAATTGTATGTATGCTGGGGATTTTTTTTTCCTTCCATTTTTTTTCCCCTTTCTTTCCTTCATCCCATAATTGAACAAGCTGCTAAAAGAACCTTAGGATTAAATATTGAACAAGATGATTCCTGAGTAACTGTTGCAGCTAATGCACCAGAGAGTTGTCCAAGTTTTTGCTACACTTGTGTGGTTTAGGGATAGGGATTTGGCCCTCCTGCCTGTAAACACACAGCTATGAGGAACAGTTGGAAGGATGGAGAGGCACTTTACCTGCACATCAAGCTGGTAACCCTTTCTGGATTGCACAGATCCCCCTGGGAGGAGCGTGTGAAGCTGTTTAGTTCTCCCTGCAGAGGGGATTCCCCAGGAACAGACAGTCCTACAGCATTCACTACCTAAAGCTGACTTGCCATCAACAAAAGCTAAGAGAGGAAAAGAAACACAGTAAGTGATCTAAAGAGACAGCCATGCTGTGATGGAAAAAGCCTTTAAAAGTAATTACATAAAAAGCATGAGCTGCTATGCAGAGTTAGGGTCCCTGAATGGAGTAATTAAAAAGGAGCATGCATTTTCTGTTAGAAATCTATCAGAAGTAAAACCAAAATGTAATCAGATTCAGCTTCTAGATGGAAACTTTTTTCACTTCACAGAACAACTAAAAGAAGGTGAATAACAAACACCAACAATTCTCATCGGTGTCATCAATATTGAAGTACTTCACTGAAGCAAAATGTTACGAAGGAAGTTGGGAATGGACATTTAAAGACTTAAAATTTACTAAATTTTCTCCCCAATTTGATTGTAAGTAACCATACCCTCATTTAGTGCAGCATGTGAAGTGTCTGAGCAGCCCAAGGAGCAGGACAGTGCTTCAAACACAGGCTGTGCTGCTTCAGCTACTGCCAAGGGAAGGCGTTGGGCTTGTCAGGGTAGTTTGTATGTAAATTGAGTGAGGTTATTTGTGTTTCAGTGTTACTTAGAAGTTAAACAGCCCTTTTAGAAGGAAATTTTAGTCAAATCAACACATGCATTGCACCCTCCTCCCAATGGGGAAGCAATTAAGAAAGCGAGCAGAGCATTCCCAAACAGCACTGCTTAACAAACAGGTCTGAAGTGTTTGCTTTTTTAAAATCTAATAATGGTACTGACTGGATGACTCTTTTGTCTTTGTATTTCACTCCCTCATGGTTTAAACATAGACAATAGTTTATGAATCTCCTGTTTTGTAACAGTTCATGAGAGTGTTGCTATTGTTATTTTTTTCATGTTGCATAGTGGGAAAAGAGGCAGAAGATAACTTATTTGCCTGCTCATATCTTACATATTCTCAAGAGCTCGATGAGAAATAAAAAGTTCCAGAAATACAAATGTAAAATTTTCTGAATAGCCAATCTGATTGCACCTCCAAGGTGAGGGCTGTTATAGGTTCAGAAGTGTTGGATTTTGTTAGTTCAGTTAGACTGTGTTCTGTCCGGATACTGAAATGCCCGGTTGAAATTCCGTGGCTTGTGTTGTACAGGAAGGCAGGAGAGCAGGTCTTAGCAGTTCCCTAAACTCTTGAGAGGCATTTTGAGGATCTTTCAGTCAGAGTGGGAATCAGGCTCCCAGAGGATGAGAAGCACACAAACAGTTGTCTTTTTTGATTTTTTTTTCTCAATGTGTAATTTAGCATCACGTGAAAGATCTGTTGCAGAGCATGAATCTTATTCTCCAGGGCAGCTGTGATTGTCTCTCTTCAGTTCTCTCTTCTACGCACTTTGGAACTCTTTTGTGTAAGAGGTGAGCTCTTGTAGCTGGGAAGTTAACTTCTACCCAGGGTTGATATTCCATTGAAACACTACCTATGACAAGAGAAGGAAGGGAGCTTGCACTATGCACAAAACCAAACTCCATAAATCTAATGAAACTTTAAAAAAGTGATGTCTGCCTTATTCTAAGATACGGTTTGAAAAATCACTGTGGAAGTCAAATGAGTCACACCTGGAATTTCAGTTGAGGTTTTCAGGGGAATCCTTATTTAATGTTTTCATATGCTGTGGAGTTGTCGTGTGGTAATAGGTGAATTTATCGTCATATTAGCTGTTGTGGTTGTTACACTAACCATTACTTCCCCATCACCCTTTCTCTCCAGTTCCAAAAAGAAATGCCATTATCTAATGCCCTTTTTTCTGCAACTAGGTTGGTGAAGTTCAATGCTGAGTTCTGCAGGATTGACTTGGAGATGCTTCCTTTTGACTTTGATGCCTGGTTACTTGGAGAGCCCAACAACAGCGTGGATTTAAGAATCTGCCTTGGTAAGTACCTTTGACTGTCACTGTTACTAAGATGCTCTAACTTGGATAATTTCATTTGTGTCCCTTTGTAAAAACAGGTTTGTTTTTCAGGCCTTTTGCCCCTTGAGACCTCAGTGATGTGAATGTGAGCAGTGCTCTGTGCATTTATGCATGCTCGTGTCCTGGAGCCTAGAAGCACAATTTCCCGTAAACATTTCCAAGTTTGGAACAAAAACAGGTTTTCACATTAAAAGCTCCTTTTTATGTTTGCAAGAAAGCTGTGTGTGAGCTGGATGTGCTCAGGCAAGTGCACTTCATTAGGTAATTCTGCTCTCAGCTGTGTGCTCATGAACCATTCCCCGTTTAACCTCAGAGAAGGATGTGCATGTGTGAAGTCAGTGAGCTCTTGCAGTCCTAAGAGTCATCCTTTTGGAAAGCATTAACAACTACAATAACAGAGATAATATTTTTAAAGCTGCTTCCTGAGGTTAACAGCTAAAGGCCATCTGAGATCCCTGCTCCATTTTCCTTCATATCATATTTAAAAGAGTGGTGTGGTATCCAGCCCCCTTGGAGAGATGTGTGCCAGCCACAATAACCACAGCTGTTAAGTTTGTCAGGGGACTTTTTGTCAGCAATGAAATTATCCAAATATTGGGAAAGGCATCATATGGGCACCCAGTACAGGTACTCAGTGTAGATAAGTTTGTAGTCATAACAGCACAATAATAAACCAATAGTAAAGTTGTTATTCCTCCTCCTCTCTTCCCCTCCCCACCCCTCAATAAAAAAAAAAACAAACCAGTCCTCAACTTTTCTTAAGTTTTCTGGTTTTTTCTTATTTTCAGTGATGGCCTGTGCCATGACTTGAGTTCAGCAAGAACTGCCTGCTTGTGCTACATGTCTTCAGGTAGGATTGACTGGCTCAGTTATCCTGCTTTATGTGGCTGCTTAAGAGAAGACTACAGCCAGTCTCATCTGCAAAATGAAGCTCAAATTCTGTATTTATTCTGGCCCTGTATTGGCTGCAGGTACGGCTTTGTTTGCAGCCTGGCACTTGGAAGTGCTGTTGCAGTTCCCTGGCTTCACATCATCAGTTCTAAGCTTTCATCCTGCCTGGAATAGAAATGTTATCATATCTAATGGGAACTATATTTTAGCAGTAAATAACAGAAAGGGAAGACATCCTGGGTATCCCTTCCACTGTTTTTCAGACTAGTATTCAGCACACTGAAGGCAGGGGTCATTGTGTGAGCTTCCCTCCAACTCCTGTGTTTAGGCAAGGTAGGCTGGGCTAATGGTTTAGAGCAAATAGCAGTAAGTTTCTAGACTAAAGGAGGAAAACAACAGGTAGTATGTGTGTCATTGGAAATTGTGTCACTGCTGGAGGGTGACCAGCCAGTCTGCTTTTATTTTTATATGCTGATAGTGCCGTAGACCAATTTACAATGCCAATGATTTGGCTTTTGTCTGTTTAAAAGATGGCTGCAGTCTAAAGAAGAACCAATTCCAGTGACCTTTTAAAACTGCAGGTTATCTTTAGCCTGCTGAAAATAAGTCCACTCTTTGAAAATGCAGAGTTATTGTCTTCACACAGAACACAAAACGTAAGAGCATAAAAAATCCAACCCCCTATTCATCATCTTATTCTGTGGGAGTTATTCTTGAGCATGCAAGACCCCACACATTATTCCTATGGGTGCTTACATCTGACAGTCTCTTTTGTAATATGTCTGGTTTTACAATTCTTCTCTTTTTAATAATGACCTGCTTTTATTCAGAAATAGTTGAGCTACAGCAGCCCCGTCTATTTTAGATAACAAAGACTGCTTTTTAAAGCTGAACAGTGTGAATGCTTTTTAAACCCCTCTTTTATAAAGAGAAATCTGATATTCTTAAAAACTTTAGGTTGTACATTTGCTATAACAAACCACTTGCAGCTGATGCGTTGGGGGGGTTCTTATTTTTTTTAATAAATTGTTTTCCAAATAAATAGCAGAATTCCCCATGGACACTAGGGTAGTGCTAAACATCTGGCTTGTCTCTGTAGACTGCACCATGTGGAACCCAAAATATCTGGTTCAGTGCTGTGCCTGTCTCCCAGCTATATTCAAAACATCAGCTTTTCTTGGAGAACATTTGGTAAAAGCTTCCTTCATTGCTTTAGGCCAATTCCCGTGTGGATATTACTCCTTCAGACCAATGTGAAATTATTCAGATTACAAAAAAGTGAAGTTGTCAACATTTGTTTGCAGAACAAAATGCTGCATTGCAATAACAAGTGTGGAACAAGGAAAATTCCAACAGCACGTAATACATTGTAGTTCTAATTTTCCCCCCACATTTCTAGCTTTAATAGAATATTCTCTGGTCTGGAAGACTAATTGTGTTTTTAATAAGAAAAAGTTTTTATGTTACTGAATTCAATGAACAGTTCTCTCCTACCTAAGCAGACAAATGCCTGTCATGTAAGTATGAAACACATCCTATATATAACTAAGATCTTGATTTCTGTCCACATTTCAACAGCTTTTTGTCAATATGATTTGGTAAAGAAAAGTGAGAGAGCAGAGTTTCTAATGATAAGGTGGAGCTATTGGAGGGGAGAGGGAAAGCCAATCAACTACCTTTTTTCTTACATTTGCAAGTTTTTTTGTTAATAATACAAGGTTAAAGCTTTTTCATGACCACATTCCTCAGACAATCTCCTTTGTGCCTTCAGGATGTTTTTGCCCTACTCCAGGGCTAGAGACCCTTCCGTGTACATCATTCCACCACCTACCAAAATCCAACTGGATGTGCTTCTGGGGTGGGGAGGGCTTCTGAAATCAGCTTTACCATTAATCAAAGACATGATGCTTTTTTTTTTGCTCTATCAGATTAATTGCATGAAAAGGCACATGCACTAAATTGCCCCTGACACTGACCTGGTTAACAAGTGCCAGGGATATCTCATTTCATCTGTGGTTAAAGGGAAGCTCATGTGTCATTTTATAGAAAACGTGGATTCTCTAAGTTATAAACCCAACAGCAAACATTATCTACAGCAACAGGACCTTTTCAAAACCTTCTGAGAGAGACTCACTGGATTACAAATTTTCTGCAGTTGCATCGTCTCTGGTTCAATCACACAGATTAATGTGATCCATTGCTCTTATCTGCACCGATTTTATTGCATTATATGTATGTCATGAACATGGTTTGTGGTTGAAAAGGGAATTGTACTGCCACAGTATGAGAGAGAAAAAGCATAATTAAGAGACAAGTCATGAACATCCTTTATTATGGTCTAACAGCCCTGCTAATAGTCTCGCTTTACATTTATGTGTAAAAGGTACTTCAAGAGGCAATGCCTTACGAAATAAATTTAATTTTGACATTAGGATGCTGTTATAACTTACATAGCCTGTAGATGACTTTAGATGGTTGTCTGCCATATAGCTCAACTTCGAGACACAGATAGAACCTTGACTGGAATCTTGACTAGGGTCTAACTTTTAGTACCTGGTCAAACAATATTTTTCCACTTAAAGAGCTTTTCACCTTTGTTTGCAGTGGGAGTATTATCATTATATATATGGAGACAAGAGGTTTTCACCCAGATTATACACGTGCAAAAAACCCATACATTAAGCTAGAACATCCACTTCCTGAAAATATGGCACAGGAGAAGGGAGAGGACTGGTGTAGGTGTGAACCTCACACCTGCATTTTGGAAAGGCACATTCTACCTGTCCTTCCATCCATCTGTTCATCACCCAAGGAATCCTGAGAGCTTTTTTGCTTTGCTTCCTGTGCCTATGGAAACAGAAAAACTAAAGGAAGATGAATGACTTCTGTGTGAAATTTCCTTCCAGGGAACTAACTGCAAATTGCAGTGGTTATTAATATGAGTGATTCAAGTCTAATCAGGGAAAAGTAAGTAAAAACATTTACTTTGCATCCTACAATCTATGTTGGGGCTGGAAAACAAGAACTCTTTTTCTTTTTTTGGCACTTGTTTTCATTTTCTTGACTTTGTTGTTCGTTTATAGAAAATAATGGAAAAAGGGAAGCCATCTCAGGAAGGAGAAAAACTCGCTTGTCACCTGGGATAAGGAGAATCAAAGGTGAGGTCCAGGGTGAAAAATGGGCAGAGAAAGGGCTCCCATGTTTGAGATAGGTGCATCTACAGGGTATATATGTGATGTGGGCTGTTGCTGTCTTAGGTTTTTAGCTGGGAGTTCCCCTTGTGGGTAGAGCTTTACTCCTGACCCCTCGTGGTGCTGGATGTTCAGTGTCAAATTGGCCAGTGTACTCCATTTCCTGTGCTAATATAGGTCTTTTCTTTGTTTAAATCATGCCTTATGCCAGTGGGAGAAATGGAATACACAAAGTCATCCATATTCCACATCCAAAATGATTTTGGGCAACCGGATTCAGTGCTTTCATTTAAGCAGCAATTTTATTTAACAGATGGAAAATAAAATGAGGAAAGTACAATTTCCAGTAAGATTCTGCTGAACTTTGAACAGGAATGAAAGGACAAATTGTGATATTCTTATTCTTGCCAGAAGTTATCTTGCTCCACACCATAAGATACTATTTAGTGCACGTGAAGCTTCGTGTTCTGATACAGCACTGATTGACTTGTTCAGTTTGAAAGTCAGATTGAGAAAACCTATGTACTGATCCTACCATGAAATACTTCATTACCTTGTAATAGGCAATATATTCACACTGTTGTTTTCTGTAGAATAGATATATATTTTAAACAGCATTCACCTTTAGCTTGTATTTTGCTAATTTTGTGTACTTCTATATTTTCTATACCTTTCTTATTGACTCACCAAGATTAGCAGTGCAGATATTCAGCAAGCTTCCCTTCCAACAGTGCTTTATATTTATTTAGGAGTTTTTACTTTGTAACCAGTCAGTCTGGGATTCTGATGAGCTGCGTCAAAGGCTCACCATGCCAGATCCTGTCTTTGTGACACTTTTGGAACTGGTGCACTCCAGAAATAATAGTGAGGAGTTAAAAATGCTCTCCAAGAAGGCTCTGTAACAGGCAGCTACCTAAAGAGACTGCAATCTTCATTAATACAAAAAGTAACAGCATTTATTAAATGTGAGAAAAACTAGAAGGTGACTATACTTTGTATTTGATGCAGATAATTATGTATATTATTTTGATAGAGCAGCTTTGACAAGCTCCTCAGATGGTTTAAACAGAATCGTTACATGCACATCTGACTCTGTTACTGTTAAGAGGCTCAGTTGATTTATTAGTGCAGTATTGCCTTACACTTGGTTTATTCTTTGGACATGTTTCCGGAGGGTTTAGTTTCACAGTCTCTTGGGCATGGCATTTTGTTGACTAGCCATCATCTAAACTTGGCCAAGAGCAATCAGATGAGCTTTCCGCCCAAGCTCTGTAAGCTACATCTGTTCTCAATAATTGACAACACAGTAATCCTCCCCCAAAACTCCTCCTTGGGGCATGTTGTATCCTCACTTGCCCTGCAAATTCATCAGTTGCTTGGCTCTGCAGATCAGTCACCTGCCTTGTGCACTATTTCAGCTAAACTTCCAATGCTGTGGACGAGGAAATGTGGTTGGAGAGGAAGAGGTGGCATCACGAGCAACAGGAAAACAAGGCTGTGAATATCAGGGAGCATTTGGCAGTACCAAGAGGGTGCAGCTCAGATGACACAGGCCCATAGCAGTTGCCCTGTTTTTCCCATTGAAGTGGAAGCATTTGGATTTCAGCTGGTCACATTTTCTGTACAGTGTTTGCACCATCATGGAGTTCACGCCCCTCAAGAGGGCTTTAGGTGAAACTGGAGAGATTCAGTCATATTTTCTGGTTTTACTACCATGAGACTTAACCTAAGGAAGAGAAAAGGAAGTGGGTCACAGGGGAGCAGAAAAGGCCGTGACTCTTGCTGAAAACTGCTCAGCAATAATGAAAACATCCCCAAATTATCAGCACTGTTTTCAGCACAATTCCAAAACACAGCCCCATGGCAGCTACTGGGAAGGAAATGAAGGACCCCAGCCCAAAGCAGCACACTGAGGTGTTTGCATTGTCTCTTTCTACTTTTAATAATGGCTTTTTATGTGACAGTGTGATGGCTGAAAAGCAACCTGATGCAGCGGCTACATAAATTTGGAAAACTCTTCTTGAAATCTCTGGTATAACCCGTGTACTATAGTGTGTCCAAATGGATTTAGTGTATCATAACGCTCCTAGAAAAACAAAGGGACAAAGAAGATGGGATTGCTAAGGGAGACATTAGATTTCATTTCACACTGGTAATAGTTTAGAGACGTGTGCTGAGCAAAATGTGATTCAATTCTGCGGCACTTTTCTTTTTTATTGCTGCTAAGTGATTTCAATATCCAGTCTAAAGTGATATTGAGAGTGTTCGATAGAACGGGGATGAAATCAGGGAGCGCTGGAGGCTCAGAGGAGGCCACAAATCTCAGGTTGACTCGACGAAGCCTTTCGGAGCCATCCCCACCTGACCTTAACCCATCTTATTTAACCTGGAGGCTGCTGGTAAGTACCTTGCAATGTAAGATATGGTCTGGTGTTAAAGGGAACTATGTGGCTAGATTGAATTTTGGACATCAATTGATGCTACGTAGTTATGGCTTTGGCCGTGAACTTACCGCTTTCAGAAACATTTATGGCTAAAAGTTTATTGCCCAGCTGTTGCTGCCTGATAGACATATCATAACTAGGAAATGGTTTAAACCCTGTAACCTTTCAATTTATGGCAGTTGAAAGCAGATGGAGATTGCTACACAAACAGGGAGGAATACCTGTAGTCGATGGTCACAAACATGGTACTTGGGGGCTGCTTCTCAAAGCTAAGGAGCTCCTTTCAGCTTCTGATAAACACGCAGCTAGAAAAGGTGAGTGTTGTTATTTGTTCTACATCTTTTGCATTATTGATGATTGGAGTAATTTCTCAGTTTCTTGAATTTTAACTCAGCTGTTAAAAATGTGCTTTGTGTACAGCAGTGTACAGTGTAGGATACTAAATCAGATGATAATGGTAGGAGCCTGAGGGGCACAGGAGGAACCATCGAGAATCCGTATTTTGGCTTCTGCAGGTTTTGGGCATAGAACTGAGGAAGTGTGAAATGAGGGCAATGCAGAAAAATACATCAGAGAAAGGCAGTTGCTCAGTAGGTGCCCACATTAGTGAGAGTTTCACAAATCTTTTTGTTTTCAATGCAACAGGGTTACACAGAAAAACAAGTTTATTTTCTGCAAGAAAAGGCTCAGGAGCTACACTGTATTGTCCTCGCTATGCTTTTGGAATCCTTTATATTTCCAGGCATCATCTCATTTTCTCTAACAAAATACTGAGTTGCTGATAAAGTGCCATGAAATTTAAAAAACAAAACAAAAGCAACCAACCTTTGAAAGGATTTTAAATTCATGTCTTGCAGTTAAACAACCTTGGCTTTTTTTCTGGAATGGCTCCTAACTTGTGTGTTAGCATGGAATATTTTGTTCAGTTTCTGTGGAGTTCTTTGAGAGCAAACTCTTACTTTTGGTCTTTAGCTGCATAATATTTTGGTTTAAAACTGGTAAGAGTAAATAACCCCCAAAGCCAGCCTTGGTTTGGTAAAACCTCCCTAGGGCTTTATTTAGTCCCTGTGCTGTGTTTCCATTTGAATGCGTAAATTGTGCTGTCACTTGACTTGATCTGCAAGGCCTTGCGAGAAGGCAAAGTGAGCTCTCAGCACTTCCTCCATTAAAAATGCCCTCAGCAGCACGGTGTAATTTTGGCTAGACAGCCACTTAGCTTTCAACAAGTTTGCTTTTAAGAACCTTGACTGAGGAGGCAGCTGTGCCCTCGTGTCTGTTCCTGGCGCTCCTGAAAGGCGTGTCAGGGGCTGGCAGGGGAGCAGGGCATTCCCACTTATCCTGCCTTCTCCACCAAACAGCTCCTGGGCACGGAGGAGCCGGAGCCATTTATACTGGTTTCCCACTAGGCCTTTATGTAACCTGACAGCTCTGGCAGCAGACATGGCTTCTGCACAGTCATCAATGATTGCTTCTAAAGCTTCATTAAAAGTGCAGAGCACACTGACAGTGCTGTGCTCAGATTTGAAGTGGCACGGTTTCATTTTTTCATATGTGAGCAGATACTCTGCTTTGTGCTGAGATACTTTGCATACAGCCTGTGCAATAATTTATTGGCTTCTATAGCATTCAGGGACCTTATTTTTTATGAAGCGGGATGCATTCGTAAAATGTGTGTTGCTAGTATTATTATTTTTAATTTTCTATTGGCAACTGAATTTTCTGCTGCAGAGAATAATGAAACGAGATGCATTTGCTGGATTCTAGTTTACTTTAAAAAAATCACAATGGCAATTTACATATGTTTCACCCTCACATCCAGATTTTCACTATTTACCATAACTGGATTAGATTCTAGTTATGTGCAGAACTGACTGGAAAATAAACTGGCATCCTGATTTGCATTCATTCTGCACCAGTGGTTCCCCTGTCAAATTTGTTCAGTGTGGCAGATTTGTCCAAGAGCTGGGTTTGTGTATTACCTGTTACTGCAGGCAAAAGCCTCAAGTATGTGTTGGCCCAAATCCCTGACGTGTATAAGGAATGACATGTTGCTACCCAGAGAATAGGAATACTGGAATTAAACTGCACTTAGTGCTCAGTGTAGAAGAGGGTTGGGGGGAAGGTTTGTGCCTGATAGCCACGAGCCCTTATTTACAGAGTGTGAAAATGGCTGCTGAATGCAGGGTGACCTCAGCCTGTGATTTCCAGGTGGCTTCCTTGTAACTATTCCTGCCCTCCAAGGCAGATAGGTCGGGTTTGGGGGATGCCAGCCACTTGTGTTTTGTGACTCCACTGCCACTTGACCAGGCAGCAAAAGAGTGGGGATGTTAAAATCTTCCCTTCCAATTGAAGGTGTGTGATTTCAGGGAACAAACATTTTAATTTATCTGTCTTTTCACGCTGTTTCCTCCTCATGGATTTTGTTTATAGGCGTAGCTTACTATGGACAACAGCACTCAGTGGAAGTTAAGAAACAGCCGCTGGTGTGTGCTTATAAAATATGCATTAATGCTCAATGTTCTATGCAAAGTAAAGATTGTCTTTCTGGACTTATTTTCCATCCTTATTTTCCAGGTTTCGTGCAAAACCTCTCCTCTCAGGCCTAATGCCAGGCTCCCATTCTGGGGTGCCTTTTATTCTTTGCTGACTCCCAGGCAGAACCCAGTTTTCCCCATGTGTTACAGAACATACTGTTTGGAGAACTTAATTCTTCAGGAGTTAAATATTTGTTTCACCAGCCCTTGTTCACCCTGATGTAGAGAAGTTTAACTCACCCTTTACTCTGCTCTTCACTGTTACCATCCGTGAGATGTCACAATCAACCCCCATGTTCTTATGGCCAACACTATTACCTCAGCAACAGATTGGTGTTGATATTATTGCAAATTATATTTATAATCATAATTATTCCTCTTTCTGTCTGATAGAGATAGTAAAGGACTCGAAGGTAGATTTAGTACATATGTTTCAGCTTGAGCTGGGTAGATTTGTGAAAAGCCAGAACTAATAAAATAGGATATAAAGCTGTGCTAACACAAATATCAAGTTTTTGAGAAGTAAGCTAAATATAAAAGTGACCTGATCTGGGCTGAAGGGGGAGATACAGGAGGTTTTGCTTCCATGCAGATTTATACAAAAGATAACTCAGCAGTCAAAATAGTAGCAGCAGAGAAGAGAGGTAGATGTTTAAATGGGATTTGAGTGTCCCTGGTGGCTTCAGAGGAAAGTGAAGCACTTCACTCGTGTTTCAAAATATAAATAAACTTGCTGAGTGTATCACTCCTCCAACTGCTCATTCTAAAGGCTGCAAGAGGCACGTGGGTGCTGTGCATCACATCTGCTGGCTCGAGCAACAGGGGGGCTGACGCGTCCGTCTGTCCCTCTATCTGCCAAACAGGGTTTCTCACAGGCTCTGTAGTGCATTTTGGAGGGCTGGGGCCTGTGGAAATTTATAAGTGCTTGAGGATAATAGTGCAACTAGTGCCATGAGGTGTGCACAGCTCTGTGCTGTGATTCCCAGGGAAGCCTTCAGTGGATTTACTAGAAATTCTCTTTACTTTTGTATTATTCTCTCACTAGAGGTGCTTGGTAAGTGACATGGAGATCAAGATAAGAAAAAAAAGCATGAGAAGTTCCCAGTATTTACCTCACAAAGTTTGTGATGGGAAAGCAAGATAGTATTGAGCTATTGCCCTCTAAGGAAAAGGGTTAAAAGCAGGAAATTTATGAAGTAAACATTAGAAAATGTTTAGAAGGCAGATGTGCAAAGAGGCTGTTTGGCATGACACAGCACTCTGCTCCATGAATTAACACTCAGGTCTTTCTGACTATCCCACACTGCCAGTCCAGCACCCTTACTCCTTTCCCCAGTGAAGAGCTTCCAAGACCTCACACCAAGGCCACAGCTCTGCCATGTGTCTGTGGGCAGTAACATGCATCACTAGATTGGTTTGTGCTCTTGTCACATTCCTCAAGAAAGTTATGGCTTTGGTACACTCAGTTATAGATTTAGTATAAACCTGCTTGTATCATCCCCTCAGGCTGCTCTGAGAGACAGGACACAACTCAGGGCTGATGCCAAATAATTATTGATCTCCGTCTCTACAGAGCTTTCACAGGCACCAGGGACACAGGGACACTCATTAAACTCTAGAGGATGCCCAGGTTTTCACCTGTTCAGATGCACCTATCTTGTTGAGGGGTTGAAAGTTATTTAAATTAGTCATTCAGAAAGATCTTTCATCAAGAGGCAAAATAGATCTAAATTTACTTTAAAAGTCAGCTTGTTATGTTTCAATTACTAGGAGCTGCAAATTGTTTGCCTACAGCCCCTGAGCAGTTGCACATCTTTTTAACATGCTGTTTAATTATCATTTGTATAGGAGCTCCTGGCCAGCTCCATGCAGATACAAAAATGGTATTAATTGTGTAGGTAGTGCATAGGCAGAGTATGATATAATTAGCAATATGAACATGCTATATTCATAAACATCCAGAAGACTCAGGTGCTGAACAAATTAGTAAAAGGTAAAAAAGCCAACCTGATAAATGGTATGGTAATGATGTTTTGATATTATCTCATGGCCAAGTGACCGCTTTAAGAGAACCTGAAGATCTCCTGAGTTCCTAATTGACAGTGACAGATTGGTACTAATTAGATAATCATGATACCAGCGGAAAATGAATTGATGGGGACACACAAAACCGGTGACATGCAAAAGGGCACCAGGAGGGGCTTCCTTAAGCAGGAGGATGCTTCAGTGAGTTGAAAAAATACCTCTTATTGTTCTCATTTCTGCTCGCTGGCTTTTGGTTTTGTGGCTTTTTTAAGTATATGGTAATTCTTTTATCCTTTTTATGTTTTATTTAATCTCACGGTATCAGTGTTCCAGCTGGTTTAAACAGAGAACATTCCTGTGACCTCTGTCAGAGAGAAAGTGTTTTAAATTTTCTAAACTTTTCCTATTATAAAATCTCCTTTTAAATACCTGACATATGCAGATAACCTGTACTCAGATTAGTCTGGTATCAGGGCTTTTTGTTGCTACTGCTTTTATGCAATAAGCTGTGCACAAGCAAAATTTTACTTAGTCATGAAGATCCTCTTAATGTTTCCAGCATAGCAGAATATTGCAAAGAAATAAAACTTTAAAATTACTCATTTCACTAGACTGTGCCTTCACTTGAGGCCAGCTGCTAGAATATAACCTTCCTGGGCCTGTGCCATTGCCAAGAGGTAACTGGTGTATGAATGTACCAAATAAAAGCTGTTGCAAAGGTGTTCTCATGGTCTGGAAGTCCAGTCTTAATTTTCTCTGGGTGCAGCACAATTTCATATTTCTTTAATTATGTTTCGGTCACATGTATAAAACCAGTCCTTCAGAGCTGAAATGACTGCTGCTTTTGATTCATCACGTAGGGGCACATTTTAATTCTCCAAGAAGGTTAATAGCTTCATGCATTCATTGTTTAAGTAATTCCTTAAATCCTCAATGCTTACATGAGCAACTTTACTGGCTTATACTTTCTTTTATTGAAATATATTACAGGAAATACCTTAGAGCCTACTTCATTAAGTTTCCTTGTAAAATGCTGTATTCTTTCTCAGAAAGAAAGAATACTAATCTGTAATACTTGTTTTTAAAGGGAGACCTCAACTCTTTACTCAAAAAATTGCAATAAGTATATCTCAACCTCATTAAATACAGCAATAGGTGCTCCTGTTCTGATGCTGCTGAAGCCACTGAAAAAAGATTGCCCTTCCTCAAGGATCAGTGTAAGACCAGGACTAGAATAAAGTTAATTAAGAAAATGTTGATTCACCGGTATTTTCCCCTCAGGTTATGATAGTGTTACTCATTGCCTGGGTAAAACAAAAATCCCCATAATTTCCAAGAATTAGCTTTTTTTATTATTATTATTATTTTGAGTATACAAAGATGGAACTGCAGCATGATAGAGCTGAGATTCAAATGGGACTCCCTGGAGTGGCGTAGCTGCTTGTGAAAAGCTGTGTCATTTGAGGTGGGCCTGTGGGTTCCTAATGAATACAATTGCTTTCCTTGGTGGTGCTTGGGTTTGATTCTCTTGCTGCAGCTGGTTTAGTAAAATTCATTCACTGATGATGCTGGGCAATCTACCTCAGTGAAAATGTATTGATTTCCTGTAAAGTCCGTTTTTGGAAATGTTCTTACACTGTGTTTTTACATATGTTTGCTCATAATTTAATTGCTGTACCTTTAAGCTACCACTCGTGCTGACATAGCTTAAAGAGCCATACAAATCTGCAGAAAGGTTCTTTTGCAGACAATTGGCATAAAGAAGGAATTAAGGCTTTTTAAAAGCTAAATTCTTGAAGATTTGTGTCAGCTTGTTGCCTACACACTGTTGACACTTTATCTAAACTAAGTGTTGACTTCATGTTTAAGGGTTTATGCCACTAAATTATTAGGCTCAGTAGGTCAAATGGTGCATATTCAGGAGTTTTAAAGACATTTTCACAGCTGAAAAAAACACACAAGAAAGAGAAGCTTAATGTCTGTTTTTAAACTATTAAACCTGTAGAAATTCCTGAAGCATAAAGTGGAAAGCATTGCTGCTTGCTGTGCTTGGTCTGCACCAAGGGAAACTGTGTGATAGAACATTTCCAATGAGGAAGGGAAGGAAAACAGTCTGAGCAGAGGAGAACACAGCAGTGATGGTTATTGCATGAAAGATGATTAAAGCAATTACTAATGCACTCTGTGCTTAATGGATATCTGACTGTGACTGTCTCCCATTGATTCTCCCAGACAGTGGCAGTCAGAAACACTGCCAAGCACCTCCTTTTTTTGTGCAATTTATTTCAATCTCATTATTTACTTCACTTTGTAAAATATGCTTCATATTTTACTGCTTAGAGAAAATGAAGAAGGCAATAAAAAGCTGGAGGTGAACAGCAGTGGTTTCCTCTGCTGAAGAAAGAGCTGTTGGAACTGGATATTGGACAAACCTCCTTAGCAATAAGGGCAGGTAGATCAATTTTTAAAAGGCTGGCAGTGAACACTCCATATTTCTAAATCTTGGAAGCTGGATCTGGATGCCTTAGCTGAATATATACTCTTCTGTAGCCTAAAACTTCTTGGATGTGATGTAAGAATCACTGCATGACACTTTCTGATCTCTATTATATGGAAGACCAAATCTGTTGATCGCACCGATCCCTTCAGGTCTTAAAATCTTCCAGCCTATTGCAAGGAAGATTGCTGCCATTTAACTGCTGTACTTGGGGTACAGGTCCTGAGAGCTTCACACACCTCTGCTGGTTTACCTTCAATTCCTGGAAGAAGTTGAGAATGATGTTTAGTTGCTTCCCAAATTTATGGGTTTCATTTAATTCATATTTTTTCATTAAAATTTCTAGCTCTGTAGTTTTTTTTATAATTATTTGCTGTAAGACTTTATTTCAGTTCTGTATCCTCTCACCTTACAGGATAGCAAACAAGGCCTGTGGACATTCATGCTCAACTCATTCCCAGGGATTAGGATTAAAACCACCCGAAGTTACTTTGTTTATTTGTATTTTTAATCCTCATTGGGTACTACCATTAATACTCAGGTTTGTTTATTTTCTTTGTGGGGTTTTTATTTGTTTATTTGTTTTCTAGTACCTTTAATACATCACACTTGAGCTATTGTTGAACCCCTTCACAGTTCATCAGTGCAGCACAGCTCCCTGCTGAATTGGGATGAGCTGGCTGAGTCAGCTGACAGAAGGAAGAGAGGAATCGAGTTTGACAGCAGCACAGACTTACTTTGGCTTAAGGTGAGAATGACCTAACATTTGTCATCTGTTGTTTATTCTCTTGGCCTCTGCTGCATGAGGAGATCTGGTTGTGGATGGCTCCATTGGAGCTTTTATTGTTAGTGCCGCTGTGTATTTATGGATTTGTTTGGCACTTTGTGGGGAAGGTGGAGAGGTTTATATAGTGATCCTTGGAGATGTTGTGTCTTCAGCGAGGAGAAGGTTTGCACAGGAGGAAGTGCCCGGGGAGTGCTCGCTCTCTGGGCTCAGCAAGGACTCTACTCATGGTCATGGGGCCAAATTCAGGTCTCAGGACAAACATCACTTTGCTGGTTTGCCAGTCATATAATGTGTACCAGGTCATTACAGGCCAGTGAACTACATATACAAGCACCTTGGTGGAACCTTTTTTTACAGGTATTTTGTGATAAACTGGTCAGCCTGCAATACCAAACTGACAAGGGGTTGGTTCAGACCATAAGGTAAGAGAGAAACTTCTCTTGAAGAAGCAGCAGGAATTTTTTTGGTTGAAAGTACAAAACAAGATAAATACCACGTTACCTTTAGGGTCAACTGCCTCTGTGGACCCCCGTCAGGAGTGTTTCTAACATTTATGCATCCTGCACAATTTAGGATCAGAGAGATTTTTTTTTTGCTTTTTTTTGTCCTTAATCTTGCTGTTCAAAATAAACTGTAGCAAAATGGGGCAGCACTTTGATTGCTGTAATCATACCTACCACACTTAAACGTTCTGAAGTGTTCTTCATCTCCTAATTTTCAGCTATCAGTAGCGTTTAGGACCCACTTTGCTTCCTCTTCAAATCACAGCTTCTGAGACAGAGCACCATGAGAGGTTGTCAGCAGCCTTTTCAACTCTGAACTCCTGCTTTTCAGTACCTCAGTGGTACTTTTTGTCTCTTCCTTTGGGGAAGAAGAGGACAGGAAACTCTTTTGGATCATGATGGCTCCTTGTTCTTTCCTGATTATGCTAAAATTTCAAGGATAACATTAAGAAAAACCTAGAAAATTACTGTGCTGATTCTTTTCTAGTTTAATGGGCACTAACTACTAATTGCCTTTGTAAAACCTAGCCTAAATTATTTTTTTCTCTCCTCCTTTATTTTATCCACAAATTTAATTAAACTGACCACAAAAGAACCCAGAAATATGAATACCAAAGATATTGGATTTGTTGACAGATATGAATGTGTTAATTAGCCTTCAATTCAGCCACATTAAGAAAATGAAGTCTTCAGTACACATCTCTGTTGGTTTTTATTAAAACTAAGGAGTTAGAAAACTAAAAAGCGTCAAAGAATAGATAATAAAGCTTTCAGCGTATTGAGACAATATTGGTAAATCTTAGTGATATGCTGTTTATAAAAAAAGGAAATATAATGCTAAAATTCTAATGAGAATCTGCTCTGTTGACTCCTTCTAGCTGTGGGAACAAAGCAATTTATACTCTTTTCTAGAGCTATTAAAATTGTTTCTTTTCTGTGGTATGCTTTTGCACTTATGGTTTTTTCAAGTTCTGCTCCTGTGGGTCTCCTTTCTCCTTGTTTCTTATTGGAGTGATGAGGATCATTTGAGTCAAACCCATTAACTTTCGCATGGTTTTCAATCAAGACCTTTGCAAAAATGCCCAGTTTCACAATGGCTTTAATGGAAAATATAGATTGCTTCATATTTGATTTAGACCTCACCCCTCTGCTTGTTTTCTGTTTTTTCCTCTCAGGCTATGCAGCTTTGCATGATTTTTCTCAGTCTTTTCCTGGTATAAGCATGTATGTTGGACAATTGCTCTGCTTCTAATTATTTTTGCACTGCACTGAAAGTCATTAATGTTATTTGTAGTGATGCGCTTGCAGTTGGTATCATGGAAATTAAAACATTCAGTGGGAAATCCCAGCTCTGCTGGAGTTAAGGAAAAATCCCCATTGAGTGAATATTTTTTCCTATCTGTCTAGGCATCCAGGTCTAAATATAATTAGACCCTGGTTTGTCTCCATCTCTTCTTTAATAGAGATATTTACAATCTTTAATAGAAATAGTAACTGTAGTTGTTATAGCTGATACATTACAAACTGTTAGTTTACTCTTTCCAGGGAAATTCTCCGACATAGGATTCTCTCCTGAGCCAGTCCAATTGAAGTGGAAGTGACAGCCCTGCCTAGTGATCTTATTTAAGGAATTGGAATGTCCTTTCTCACTGGTGTCAGAGCCAATTTCTGCCGAGGCAGTAAGAGCACCTACAGCCAGGAGAGTTTGATAGGCCCTGGCTTTCCTTAAAAGCATTTCTCAGGGTTGTTACTGTCTTTTACTATTGAGTGCATTCTGAAAATATACTTTTCTGGAGTATCCAGACACTGCAATATTTACCTAACTATTAAACTGAGAGTATACAATATATGAGCAAGTGACAGTGTGTTTTTGATGGATAAAGTGGGCTTTTACTGCAGAAGAGGTGATTGCTCTTAAAGGTGTTGTCACTGCCCGAAAGGAAGAATAAACAGAATAAACAGACAGGGAAGTGGCTCTATAGGTATGATTTTTCTTCTGAAGTGATTTTGTTGTTCTTTTGGGCTGCAGGTGGAAGAAAGTGTTCGCTCTTTCCAAGTGACCTAAAAGCATCTGGAAAAGTGAAGGTAATGGACTCCAGACAGAGTTTTTTTCAAAGGCTTATACTGAATATGACAAATATTTGTGATTGCATCACTCGGGCCTTATGAATAAATGAAAACTTTTTAATTTATGTGATAGTTTTGCTCTCAGAGCTCTATTTCCAAGGAACCCTAACACAGTAATGGGCAGGGCTGGTAATGGGAGTGATTCCTCTCACCCATTGTGAGTTTTTGGAATGTAGTATTTGTGTGTAATTTATAAAAGTATGGTTTTCACTCACTAAAGACGTGTCTTCCAGCTTCAACAGGTCTAATACACAACTAAACTTCTCAGCCTGCCTACAACCAAACAAACAGAGTTTGCTCATTGCGTAGATTCAAAACAAGGGGAACAGCAATTATTGTCTAAATATAAAAGAATTAAAGAATTTAAAAAACAAAATAATAAAAAAGGAGAGAGAAAAAAAATCTAATATGGCCATGGGGTCCTTCTTAGTTTACAGATGGCTTCTTCCATAGACTCTTTTTGTGATGCTTTTCCTTCATTTTGACCTTCTAGATTTTGGCCCAAGAGCATCCTCAGTGCACAGTTGATAAAGTCATGCTCAGAGGAATGGTAGCCAGAGACAGCCTCAGTAGGAAAGCCCTTTTCCACTCACTTCCCAGTTTGTACTGGATGTCTTAAGAACATGATAGGGATTTCTTTTTTTTTTTTTTTCCCCAGTCATACCACATTTCAAAAAGGCCAGCTTGGTTTCTTGGGTTTTCATAAATGTGGGTTGTCGGGTTTGTTGCCTTTTTTCATTTCCCCGGTGAAAATCTGATGTCACAAATGCATTCAGAGCGTACACAAACCCTGAGAGAAAAGAGCAGATTTGTTTATTGAAAATCAGCACCGTGTTACTTTTTGTGGCAGGGAAAGTGTAAAGGCAGAAAATTATTCAAACCCCATGTGTCCTGACTGCAAAGTGAATTTGTAGGAATCCAGGGCATAATAAGCCAATCGACTCGCTAGACAGTATTTTTAGTCTTTTGCTGGTTTGTTTCATTATTTTCATTTAATCCCATTTCCAAGTCTCTCCAGCCTCTCAAAGTGAGCATATGGGCAGTATACAGATATCACAACTATGTCTTAATATCCAGCTGCTATTTGTGTGCAAATGGGGACTGGCTGCATGGCTGGCTGGAGTACCCTGAGCGAACCTGCGGCTTCCAGAGAAATATTGCAGAATAATTTTAGTCAATCGCCGTTTAATTGGGATAGTTGCTGATCCCTAACATAGATTGTTGAGAAGTCACGATAGCAGAGAGAAAGCAGATTGAATTAATGGAAGTATGGAAACTGTTTAGAGGGGAGGAAAGGGAGCTCACACTTTCTTCTCTGCCTTTACAGATAGAGGATTGGGGTCACAAAAACTCCGTGTGGGTTTAGCATCCTTGAAAACGCCAGGAATGGAGTAATTGGATGACTGGTACAGGCTGTGGATGCAGCTCTTTCATCACTGCCCCCAGTGAATGGAATTCTTTCCCTTCTACATTTAAATCTAATCCAGACCTTCAGATTTCGCTGTGGATGGTTTCACCTCTGAGCTGAGCAGCAGCCCGAGAGGTAAGGTTTGGATAATTGGAGCAAATCATTCAAAACCCTTTTCTGAGCAGTGCATTATGCATGCACCAGTTTTAAAAATGGACAATTATACAGACACATCTTTTAAAAAGTGCTTTTGTAGTGAGTAAAACAAAGTGATTTCTTCATGCTCCTGTGCAAAATGGGTGGCTACAAAGCATGTGCATAGATTTCTGGAGATAGAATACAAAGGGGATGATAATAATAACCTTTTTCTGTTGCCTGAGAGTCTGCACAAAGATTCCATCAGCATTTTGCACAGCATGATAAAAAATGTGTTAAATCCTCATCATCAATGGAGGTTCAAAGTGAAACAGAATCAAGCAGAATAAGGTGCCCATAAAGAAAAGAAATAGCTAAATGATATTAAGGAAGCCGAGATAACTGAAAAAATTAACAGCACAATAGCTTATAGAATCTGCTTCTGCTAACAAAAGGCAATCTTTAGTGCCCAGTATCTCCATTCAGTCTGAAAAAGAAAGGTAGTTACATTCTGGAATGAACAAAATAGGAAAGGCAAGATGCAGTCAGGGACTTATTCTCGACTCCAAGCTGCCTTGGGCATCATTCCACATTGAGGTGTTGGCAGAGAGAGGAAGTCTCTCTTTTTATTGAGAGGTGAGAGTTCAAGTATCTTAACTTCAAAATTTAAATTATCAATGTAAAATCATGCTTTTCCTGTTTTGTTCATCTGTTGCTTCTCCATGGGAATCATATTTCAGAGACTTTTTCCCATGTAAGACTCCTGCTTTGTATTTGTGGTTGAAACCAGATGAGACAAAAGTGTTTTGGGGGTTGCTTTTTGTTATTTTGCTGTTTACAGCTACATATTTGTCTTCAAAAGCAAAGGTCAGAGGGTTGTATTAATTAGAAATACTTCAAAAACTTGTATCTCAGAGCTCTTCAAGAGCCAGAATAATAAAGAACAGAATTGGAGAAAAGAAGGTTAAGGGAAGATGAGAAAAAATTTAATATACCTTTTTTAGACTTATTCTCTTATGTACAGAGAAGCTTTAAATCAAGCAAATTAAACCTTAACATGGTTCACCTTTGAGCACAGGGCATAAGGGAGAGACACCTCCTGAGGTCACTGCACTGCTGCAGCAGCCCAGTAAGAGCCAAAGTAATTTTGTTTAAATTCAAAACAGGTTCTGGCAACACATGCCCATCTGCCACCCCTCTGGCTGAGAGTCATGTCTGCAAAAGTAGTATAAAGATGTAACTCCTTGCTTCTTGTCTGATTTTTTTTTTTGCCCCTTCAGGTGCCTCTAAGAGCTTTTCATCTGCCTATATTAAGTTCTCCAACAACACGAGAAAACAGGTCATGAATGCAGGGGGACAGAGAGGCAGGTTAAAAGAAAGAGGGGAAAAGGCAGCAGTTTGTTGTTGGAGAATAGATGGAGATGGATGGAGGCTCTTGTGGAAGGGCCTGGGGAGGGAGGAGGATGTTACTCAGCTCAGGGTTGAAAGTCACTAATACTGGTTATTTTATCAATATAGTTAGTTAAATATTCTGATGGACCTTCAAATGTTTTTGACAGTTCTGCAGTGTTTGCATCTGCCATGAAAATAATCATGCATTCCTGGGAATTGGTAAATGTGCCAAAAAAAGAGGCAGTCTCCTTCATTTATCCTTGTTTTATGCTTATTGTAACTCATGTTACAACATGATGAATTAATTGTGTCTTACGGTGCTACAGGTTGACTGCATCAAATTGGATGAGTGTAAAATACCTCAGTGCAATAATTACCATATGCTTCCAAAAAGGCTTTTCTGCATATGACATGATGTATGTATGGCCATAAGTAAAGAAGAAAAAAGAATACTAACACGTGACTTTTTTAAGGAGAAAAACTTACATGGGAAGCAGAATAACAGTTCTGATGGTCAGGGAAAATATGGGACAAAAAATACAGAGTCAGAAGTCAGTGTTGGGAAGTGAGAGAGGCAGAGAGGATGTAGCAAAGGCCTTGCAGGTGTTGGCTAATGGATGTTGAAAATTGAACCGGGTGTTATCTCCCAGAAGAAAGAAGCAAGTGTAGGTGTAAATATGCAATTTTTGAACTTGAAGCAACTAGAGTTTTGAGTTAAAACTGAATAATATCGCTGCGGAACATTTAGCAGGAGTTGGCGTGCATACAAGTTCAGCCTTGCATGGACAGAAAAAGATAGAAAAAGAGGAATAAAGAAGACTGTCTTTTTTAAGCATTTGGGTTGCACTTTGTGGTGTTGGAGAATACAAATAAAGAAGGGATTTCAAGGAATCATTATGATTAAGTGAATGAAAATAGTATGGTAGGATTCTGATTTGCAGCTTAAATGATGTTAATACTGAAACAAGAAATATGAAACTGTGAAGGCAGGTGAGGTTGTTTGTAGGGTTTTTTTGTTTGGTTTAGAAAGGATACTTTTTTCCCACAGTTTGGGCTACAGATGGGTCTCATGGGATTTGCTTTCCAACATAAGGGAGATATTCAGGCTTTCAGATTTCATTACCACTTTCTTCATTATTGTGCCTAGAGGAGCTATAAATAACACATGGCTAATTTGTGAATATGGCACATTCCAGGGGATGTGTGTATTTTAATCAGGGCACCTTCTGACATTTGGTAATTGGTTTACAAATTTGTTATATAATTTCATGAGTATTAAGTTGCTAGGAGGAAAAAAAATCTAAATTTATGTGGTCTAAAATCTGCCCTCATTGGACCCCCGCAGCAGCTGGTGCTCCTGCTAGGTCTAACTGAGGACAGGTTTTGAGTCAACAAGTACATAAACTGGCACCATTTCTTTATTTCTTATAGTTTTAGTAAAGTAATTAGTAGCTACATTCTTCATTACATCTTTTTTTTTAATTAAAGCTTTTTTATATGTGTGTGCATATATCACTAAACTGCTTTTAAGATGCAGGTAAATTTTGTCTGGTGAGAAACCGGGTTTTGTGTTGGAAGGTGCATGTTTGTTATTGGGGTATTTTTTTTAGGCCTGTTTGTAGGAACAAGTGTCGCCAGTGTCCAAATTGTGAGCTTGGATGCTGCCAAAGTCAGTTCTAAGGCTGTTTTGTGTAATATTGTTCTCCTGCACCCAGGATATCCAGTCCCTGGAAATGGTCTGGCTTATGTCTGAAATAAGACATATGACATGGATTAATACGGAATATTATTGCCCATTTTTTGTATTATTGCAATCAAAAGTACAGACACACTGAAAAGTTATCTCATTTAAAATCTTAATTTTTGACTGTTAGTTTTCTCTTTTGCACAGAACAAGACATACACGACTGTGTTTCCAAACTTTCCTTACTTCTCTGGCTATACTTATTGCCACACAGCATTTAGTGTGTTAATTAACTGCTAACGAATGAATATTTCAGCTATAGACTACAGTGCTGTGCTTGTTCATTTATATTATTACTCATTCGATAAAGGCAATATGTGCCAAACAGCAGGATCCGGTGGGAACATCTGCTAGTGAGCAGGCCCAGGCAGGAGAGCAGCTCACAGGAAGAAATCCATTCCAGTAATTTACTGAATTTTAATTTTACTTACTCATTTTAGGGAAGGCTGTGGGTCATTCAACCATTTTGTGACAGGCCGTGGGGTTGGTTACTGCCATTTTGGGTAAGGGCATGGGCAGGGGGAGGGGGTCTGTCCGCCATTTTGGGTAAGGGTGTGGGGTCAGTCCACCATTTTGTGACAGGCCATGGGTCACTCCGCCATTTTGTGACAGCCCATGAGCCCAGTCCACCATTTTGTGTCAGGCCACAAGTCAGTCACCGCCATTTTGAGACAGGTCATGGGGGCAGTCCGCCATTTTGTGATAAGCCATGGGACAGTCTGCCATTTTGGGGCAGTCAGTGAGGTCAGTCCACCATTTTGTGACAGGCCATGGAGTCACTCCCCCATTTTGTGACAGCCTGTGGGGTCGGCTGCTGCCCTTCCAGTGTGGACCAAAGGCTGACTAAAGCTCAAGGGGATGGGGTGGAGCAGTGGCCATCCCATCTACACAAAGTTTGCCCAGTTCCCCTCTACTTCCCACCTCATTGTTTTGAGCCAGTCAAGCATTCCTCCAATCTCCTACAGTCGTGGTGCAGGAAGCCACTCACAGATAGATAATTTAAACATCTGGACTGGCAGGGAACTCCACTCGTTCTGTCTCCCTGTGTCCCACTCCTTTAGGGCAGAACTGATTTAAAGCATAGCTACAAAACATATTGAGGTGTCTCATAAGAGTTAGAACATCCCAGAAATGCTTCTCTGGCTTCCTTTGGCACTGAACCCATGTTTTTGCTTCCAGAGTAATCTAAAACATTATTTACAAGTGTGTTGTACTACAGCCCCCTTAAGTCTTTGGACTTGAATCCTGGCTCGTTAGCAGCAAATAATGTGGCCTAGAAACTGAAACAAGGTTCACAAGCTCTTGGAAGCTGCGTAGGAATACGCAGGCATCAGGGACTTGTACCCTCCATGTCGTGAGCTGTGGGTAACTAATAAGATCAGAGAGTTGAGGGGGAAAAGAAGATCAGCCCTGAACTGGAATTCTGAGGACTTCTATGCTTGTATTACATTTTTCAAGTTCTTCTACACATAACCAATGCAATATTAGCATTTTTAGATGGATGATAAGTAAAAAAAGTAGTGTAAGAGTCCACTAAAAGCCTTTGTGATTTCTTCTCCCTAATTTTACTCCATTTTTGTTGCAGCAAGGATCCCATCAGCCCAAGCCGCAGCACCGGGTATGAAGGTGAAATTTGTCTGGCCAGCCGAGTGTCCCTGCTGTCCATGCACAGCTGCAGACAGGGCACTTGCTGCCCCATGTGCCAAGGAGCACAGCCGCCTGTGGCATGTTTTAACATTAAAAATGCCAAGCACCTGCGACAGGTTTTGGCATCTGTCACTGCAGCGTGAATTGAAGCAGCTTGGGCTATACGAGGCTGGCTCAGACCAGGCAAGGTACCAAAAGTTTTGCCTTTCTGTTACAGAGCTTCACCTCTGCTGGTGTATGGAAAACCCTCTGAGGCTCCAGGTGCTGTGGAGCTTGTATTTGCCTTCTGCAAAATGCTTCTGGAATTTTAGGATGATTTACATCAATGTATCCCTCTGCCACTGCGCCAGGAGTGATGAGGGTGCCTGAAACACTCTGCAGGGATAAGGACACAGGAGAACTACACTCAGAAACCAGGAGGAGAGGAAGGTGAGTGACTGCAATACCATGCCATGTTGCCCAAGAAAAGTCACAATTACTTTCATGGTGTTTGGTGGAGATTCTTGTATGTGGCTGGAGCCTGAGGCTTGAAAACAATTAGGAAAGGGGTATTTCTGCAGAGTCTGATGGATAACAGCTCCTGCACTCCTGCTGAGCCAAAGTCCTGGCTTCTCCTGTTGAATTCTGGAGCCAGCCCCTACTCCCTTGGACTCGAGTGTGGTACAGCCTTGCCAGCAGCCCTGGTGGTGCTCTTTGTCAGGGATCTGGATGGGTTTTTCCTTATTTTTTAAATTTTTTTTTTTTGGTGCATCACAAGACTGCTTAAACAAATTACTTTTGAGGATTATAATCTTCCTTACAAGAATTACTTCTCTGTAGTGTATGTTAGACAACTCATTTAAGAAACCGTAGTAATTTCTTACTTGTAAGAAGCAGTGTGTCCTCTCTTTGTTAGCTGTGGTATTTATCAGCTTGAGTTTCATACAGACTCCCTTCCTTTAGTCTGGGTTTTTCTTGAGAAAAAGCCAATATTGATAATAGTGTTTTAGAAATAGGTTTTGTCAGTTTGTGGGATCTTTGAGGTTGTCCAGGCAGTCACTGGTGGGTTGTACTGGGCTGGATTCAGCTATGCAATACTGTAACTTCAAATATTGTGATTTTTTTAGTGTATATGGCCATAAAATAGAGACTTTGCCATAAAGTAGATTAAGGAAGATCTTTGATGCTTTCATTGAAAGCACAGCTCTTCCAGAAGGTGAGCATTAACAAGATGGTGGTGTCACATTTTCATGACAAGGTTCTGACTGAGCAGATCATTAGAGAGAAAAGGATCAAAGCCACTTCCACACGTTACATTTTGGGTGGACATGAGTGTGTCACTGGCAAAAAAGCTTGAGTAGCGAACTTCACAGGAGGGGAAGCTCACTCCTCCTGCCTTTCTCTCCTTTGCAATTTCCTTTCTGTGAGTCACAAACTTCTGGAATTTCAAAGCCCTGATGTTTTAATCCAACTGCAAGGGCTGATATAACTATGATAAGAGACTTAGACATCAGAAAAGTTGTTGGGTCTCCTTCATCACTAGTGGACAAAACCCAAATACCATGTTAAATAATAAAGTGTTTAGTTCTTACTATCTCTCCAGTAATCTCCTTGGTCTGAAATGGCCTTTTTTTTAGGAAGGGTTACTTATCTAACAAAAGACTGAATAAATTCACTAAGCACAGAACAAAAATTTCTAGCCAGTGCAGTAAACTGGGAAGTTTTACTTTCTAAATTTTAGTAAATTAGATTTCTAATTAATTTAATTCAATTTATTAATTTAACTCAAATGTTCAAATTTTACTAAATTGGAAAGCTACTTTACCATGTAAACCTATAATCTTTCTCTGCCCTGTATCTACTGGTGGGGCATTTGGTGCTTTCTTCCGGGGTATGGAATACGTAACCTAGAGCCCAGAGGCACAGGGAGCTGTTAGATCCTGATCTCAGGGTCTGCTGCGGGCAAGAAGGGCCCTTCCACTGCTTGATAAAGTCTATTGAATGTGTTGGATTGCCATTAGTCATGTTCATCTCTGAGTGGGGACCAGCTCCTTGAATATCTCCAGGAAAGCAAGCAAGAGACGCACCAAAGTTGTGTTCTTCAACAGGATTGTAAGGTGTGTAGCCAAAGTGCTTCTCAAACTTTTTACAGATACTCCAGCACATTTGGAGCATTTGACAGAAAAGAATAGGCAAGGGCAACAATGATTGATCCATGTTTTTAAGAAAAAAATTGGAGCCATATTTCCACCGGGGGCTTCAGAGGGACATTGATATATTTATCGTGAAAGAGCTGACGAGCGCCAGCCTTTGCATCACTAAAAATGTAGCCTGCTGCAAGAATTTACAGCTGGAAGGGAAGATTCATGGCCCCTCTCTTTATTTATTGGAAAAATCTCTCGCAGCTGAGTAAAGACATAAATATAAAATTAAATCACAAAAACTACTCTGAAGTAGTGCTAAGGTTACTTCTTGAACCTACAGGGCCAGGACAACATAAAACTAATGTTGAAACACAATTGAGATGAACAGTATTTACTCATTCATTATGACAAACACCACTTTACAGCTAATATGTAAAATCACAGATTATTTGAGAGTTTTTGCTATATTCTTGTATGCAAAGCTTAACAGGAGGACTCAAGGACAGCACGTTAGATAAAGGTACATCCATGAATTTCTGTCCTTATGATTTATAGCTTTCATGTCACTGTAAAATTATTTTTATAGTTCATTTTACCAGTGCATGGTGCAAGAGAACTTTACATGCTTTTGAAAAATAGCTTCATAAACAACAACAGTCTTTGATATAAGTTCTTTGAGTGCATAGATATGGGTGTGAATGGCTGGATTAGGTTAATATTATTTGTCCTTTTTAGGTCACTGCAGATATTTTAAGTGGCCTCAGCTCCATGGGCTGAGGAGCGTAGGAAACAGAGCGGGTTCCTCCCTTTAGCAGCCAGGAGAAAGGGGGCAAAAGACAACCCACCCCCAAGAAAAATTAGTGTTAATGTGTTATTTTGGGTAAAACAGTCCATAATCTCTACATAGTGAGTTTTCATCTCTAGATCTTCCAGCTCTTTATCTCAATTTTGCAGGTTGCAAAACTGATTAATTACACTAGCAACATCACTATAATTAGTGCTGATTATTCTCTGAGCTTTTTCTTCTTTAATCATCTGTTTAATTTGAACTAAATCCCTATTTATCCAATAGTGTAGGTTTTAGCATCGGAAGACAGTGGATTTTGTTTAAGTCTTTCCACCTTGAACTCAGGTATTGTTATAAAAGCTTTGGGAATACTTCTGTGGGATTATAACGATTATAACTAGATCAGGATTTGGCATTTTTTAAATATCTGGTCATCTGTCAAATGTTTTGATGGTATAGCTAGCACTTTGTTTAAAAATGTAGGAAAAAGAGATGAAAAATAACATCCTGGAGACTCTCATAAATTCCCTGCCATATTTACACCATTACTCCATAACAAAATCTATGTTAAGCCATGAGGGAGAATAGTTTGTCGGCCAACCCGGAGAAGTTTGAATTGTCTTTAATCAAGAGCTGTCAGGATAAAAGAAAATGCGTGGAAGCAATATGTGGCTGTTTTTCAAAACATAAATGAAACAAAATCTGAAGAAATAAGGACTGTACAGCACTTGTACATGATGTGCTCTTTGTATTATCAAAGCCTGGTTTATGCTGACATATTGTACCATGACAGGCAAAAAGAAAAAATAAGTAAAACTTACAGCTGGGGTGGAATGATGTAAGAGAGGGAAGCAATACTTGCTTCACCTCAAATCTTTCAGTAGGTCTGGAGCTGATAGTTCTTCTCCTTCATTAACACCTCTCTGTTGGGGCTTCTCTCTTCTTTCATGTCCCCCCTAAACCACTGTAAAAATAACTACTAATGATGATGAACAGGTTTTTTCTATTTTCAGTTTCCTCTATATGAAAATCTTTATCATTCTCTAACTACTTGAAAAGTCAGTGTAATTCTCTGTAATTCATGAGCTCGGGGCATTTTGCCCATTAGGATCTTTTTTTTTTTCATCATTTTGGTAGCTGCAGCACCTCTTCTCAGAGTGAAAAGAAACATAAGGGAAAAAGATCACCTCTTGGTCCTATCCTAAACCCCTGCTTAGGTAAGAGACTTGCTGCACATCTTCTGTAATGGTTTGTCATACTTAATTGGAACAGGAAATATTGGGGCTATGCCAGGCATATTTCTGTTTGGTTAAGTTATTCCCATGAATCTACCACTAAAGATGTGCTTAATCTTTCTTCTGTTTAAAAAAGAAATAATTTTTTACATGGTGACTCATTTCCTTGTTTTAGCATTACCATATGCTGTTTATTGGTTATTTAAATTACATTAATGTAAAACGCTGAAGTTTGATTTCAGTGACATTACTGAGTGGGGGGTGGTGCATCAATTGTAATATGTGATGTTTAACTGCACTCACTGCAGATTTAGCATGTATTAACTTTTATTAGAGGTGAAATACTTGCCTAGTGAACAAGTTTATGGTGAGAAGGAAGTGCTCGTTTTCCGGTCATGATCTTGTGCTTTTTTCTTTCTAATTTTCCATGACTCTAAAACTTCGTTCTTTCTTTGATGTAAGTGCAGGCTAAAAACCCAAGCAGCTTCTGCTGTGATTCTTTCCCATTGCAATCCTGATTCTGAAGTTCAAGTTCGGTTTCCAGACTAATGATCTCTCATCAGGTCACTGCAGAGAAAACAGAAAACAGTGAGAGAGGAAAACAAACAGGAGATGGTACATATGTAGCTTTTTCTGTCCTCTCTTGACCTTCCATGTCTAAGATGTTGGTGTATTTTAAAGGACAAGCTGCAGGAGGCACCTAAAATGACATCATATATTCTATTAGCCTTTAATGTAATTTTTCTAATATTTCTAACCTTTCCAACTGCAGTAAATCTACCTGGGTTTTGTTGTGTTTTGGTTTGGTTTTTTTTTATTAAATTGTAAGTACAACCATATTAACCTCTTTGGTTCTATTTGTTCTTCCTACAAATGCCCTTTCGTGGTAGCCTGTTCTTACTTATTCCCACAGCTGGTGGCTCATGAAACATAGGCAATGCCCTCCGTAGGGAGTCTTAAAACACAAATATACTGGTTTTTAACAGGGTGTTCTTCAGTATCAGCTGTGAAGTGGAAGCACAGGAGGAAGAAAAACAGTGATATTAATCTATCAGCCTAGGAAAGGCAAAAATAAGAAAAGTATTGATTTTTTTTAAACATCATTAGGATCAGCAATGCATCACTTCCTTGTGAGAAATGACCCACCCTCCTCCTTTCCAATGCTGCTGCTTTTGTAATGAGTTTTTATTAGGTAACCTATTTTCTGTAAATTATAGCTCAGACTTCTCAACAGACATCAAACCATCTTCTCAGTAAGAATACTTGTTAAGTTA